ACTTCAAACAGTGTCTTACTCGAACACAATAAAGACGATACTCAAGCCTGCCACGACCAGCGCGGCCAGCAGAGCCATGGCGGAGCATCGCACAGACCGTCCTAACCTGCGCCGCTTCAGCGGCTGTCCCGAAATGCTGTTCCCATTCCATGGCGAGAGCACAAATGCAGCGACCGTCTATCACTGCAGAGACTTCGTCAACCTTGGTCGTGGAGAATGTCGGTGTCGTCGAGGTAGAAACTCCTCGAACGCGTTCTGGGCCACCAATAAAGTGCGAAGCCCGATTCAGGGACAGCAACTGAGCAGATTCCGGCGGATTGGTCGAAAGACATTGTTTGTACGGCTTCGTACGCCTGTAAGCGCCCGTCAACCTGGAACCGGTCGCCCAAAGTCTAGCGACCGGCATCAGCCTGTAGACACAGCAATGTGAACCCGTGTAATTTTTCTCTTTGACCGACACGACTCAGCCAGTAGAACGCTTCACTCGCACCTGTGCTGGTGTTGACACAGACCCGCCTCGTATCGAAATGTTGGCCGTGGTGATGTTGCTTGCCCCCGACGGATCCGTAACATTGCCACTCGTGCAAGACTGAAATGCCATAGACGGTGACTGTGCTGACAGGAGATGGAATGTAGCTAGAGATAGAATAATATATCAATACGGAGTGATACAAAACGTCCAAGACAAAAACCATGCCTCTTCAAGGAAATCTCGCATGCTCCTACCCCTCCTAAATCGTCGGGTGGGCAGGAGGTCGTTGACGGTCACACTAAAGCCGGCGGCCCACCGACTATTCATACCGCTACATGTCTAGTCCATTCTTCAGCCATTCGTCAACCCGCGCACGAGAGGCCGTCTCTTCAAGTTCTTCTGCCTCACGCCTCCTCTCCTCCATCCTTTGCGCCCTGCCGGGATCCAGAACGCTGGGCAGCATCAGAAGCGCGTCGAATATCATCCTGTCGCGCGCATGTGTCCGGTCAGCCCTCTCCTGAGCGTGCTGTGCCGTCTTCTGCTCGCTCAACTCCATGTCCCGCTTCACCTGTTCGGCGCCACCATCCCGACTACTGTGGACTTCTTCCGAGTAGAAGCGAGGCCATCTTTCCTGCAACGCCGTCATGAACTGATCGACGCCCCAGGTCTTCAATGCGACGAAGCCGTACAATATGGCAAGGACCGTGTGCGTAGGCATTGACTCCCTCGCTTCGCACGTCTGTGGGAGGCGTGCAGGTCGATTATGGGGCAAGGTCATCTTATTGAATTCGCCGACACGCAATGTCTTGTCAAAAACTTGGAAGTGATACTGAGAGGAAGCCTGATCGACGGCGCCCTGACACACGTGTCGTGCTTCCAGGAAGAGATTTGGAACCTGTGTGCAAAGTTGAGCATAGCGGACGAAAGACAGGATAAACTGTCGGAACGAACCTTTAAAAATGCCGCGCTCCTCCCAAGATATCGATGAATGAGGCAATTGACAAGAATCCCATTGCGAACATCGTCAATTTCTTTGATTATAGGGTCATTGCCGATTTTTCGCTTGGTAGTTAGGTGAGTGATGTACTGTACAGTACAGTGATAAGCAGTTTGCTATGGACCTCAGTGTGAAAAGAGGCCGCACCTCATCTCCGAGTGAGAAGCGGATCAGATGGACAGCGTCACACGCGAGAGGAGGTCCTCCGCTCAGAACGCATGTGTTGCCGTCTCTTTCGGTGACGCGGGACGCAAAATCGCCACAACGCCCACTATCTGACGAAGAGTCCCAGATGCAACGCCGCTCGATGGCTAAATCAACAGGAGAGAGGTCGCCTTCGTGACGGTAGTAGTAATTGTTATTCTGGGATATATCGATCGACGTCGAGTCGTCGAGGTCCACAGGGGTGAGATCAGGTCCAAGAAGGACACCCCGACAGCCGGTGATTGTGAATGCCAGATAGGCCATCCAGCGGGGAGGGCAAAGGGAGAAGACAGACAACTCCTCGGCAGGAATCTGCAGGGCAAGGTGCCACTCGTCTGGTTCTTGGTTGAGGAGGATGTGAAGATTGGTGAAAATAGGTGCATTCATCATGAAATTCAAGAAGATCTGAGGCCCGCAAGGTAGGAGAGCGAGCGGCCGCGCTGTACGCAATCGTTACGGTCACGGCACTATCATTGGCCCCGCAATGCAACCGCGACAATGATGCAACTCGCGCTCCTAGGCTCCCAAAAATGTGATAAAATCATAGACAATACATAAAAGCGTGATGAACATGAGCAATGACTCGGATTCTATATGTCATGCGAGGCACACGTACCGTGTAGCTATTCACAGCATAAGACTGGCTTGCTCATAGCATAGCTAGTACTTATCTTTCAAATTACCACCCTCACAGTGAAGTACACAATTTCGGAGTTACATAAGCATTTTTGCATCTCCGAAACGCGTTGATTGGACCTCGGATGACATGTCGGTGGCTGAAAAGTGCAGTGGTTTGAGGGCGCCAACGCAGATCGCCGGTGTTTGCCGTTGCCCTAAGTGCCAAAAAGTTCCTCTCGCCTCTCGTCGGCATCGGTTCTGCATCTCGTTTCTCTGTTACTTCTGCCAGGGCTGGTGGGCTTGCATTGAGGTGAGCATGGTTCTCAGTGTACTTAGGGTGATGATTCTTTTCATACCAATTTCTACGCCGAACACACTATGTGGAACCATTTTAATCTAGTTTCAGCCTTGGCTGACCATTCTCTTCCTTCTCTTCCTATACATGCGTGAACCTGACTGTTCTTCGCCATCAGTGAAATTCACCTTCAAATTAATGCATGAAGCATCTAGTTTGTGGTGAGTGACGTTTCGCATGCAACACGCGGTTTCTTGCTGTTTCGGATGAAATTCCTATTCGATGGGCGGACAGAACGCCTCCTGCCTACACCAAAGTCTCCTAGTGTACAAAAATGGAGATGGGCACGGTTGCTTGTTGAATGCATCGAGTTGCTGAATCCTCTTTTCTTACGAATCGTTTTTTTGACCTGTCCCATCTGACCAACAAGCTTTTAGATCCGGACTAGAACCCATCAATCCGGAAGATCAGCGCACTATAGTTACAATGTCATGTATTACACCTGAATGTAGAGTGCGCACAGCTTGCAGGCTGGACGCACGTTCCATCGATACATATCCTCATTCTCGCAATGTCCGTCGAAAAAGACGTGAGCTCGCGACGTGTGACCGGTCTGCTGCCGACCCTCATGACCCTCGTTTGCGACAGCTGTGTATCCTCATCAGAAACGGAAGAGTTGACGACATACGGTAGCAATATTCTCGCATTCAAGCCATGACGGTCTGGACGGCGCAGACGAGCCTTTACCTCTTCCACATCAGCTTCGGCCGCAGTTAAAGCTAACCCTCCTTTCTTCGTACCCTGATGGGCTTTAAGACGGTCATTGCTGCTGCAACGGCTTCCCTGTCGAGGCGAAACAAGGGCAAGAGATCTGCAAGCAACCGAGACACGGAAATGGCCGCGGACGAAGAGAGAGCGCGAAGACCCCTCCTGACAGAGAACATACAGCCGAAGCAGTCATCTGGTTCCGCTGCGCCGGTGTCGACGCACAGCTATGGGGCGACGCAGGGAAGCTCAAATATCCACAGCAGCCCTGAACAGTACAGAAGAGATAGCCTGCTGGGCAGAGTGCCGGAGGAGGGTGATTCGGTAGACGAGGAGGTGCTCGATGAGGCGGAAGAAGAGGAGTGGGATCTGCGGGAGAGAGGCTTTTACATCGGTGCGTTGTGTGCTCGTTGACCACGCAGGTCGTCTCTCATCTCCGTATAGGATCCTACAAGAGAAAGGTCGCGCTCTATACCCTCGTACCGCTGAGCTCCTTGCTAGTCCTACTGCTGCTCGCTCTCCTTCCGCCACTTCTGTGGAAGCACCTCGAATCCGACCCACCCCTCTACACACGCTCCGCTCCCTTCCCTCTCCCCGAAGTGCTCACCGGCGCCGCCCTCTGGTCGCTCTCGCACCAGCTGCGCCTGCCGCTCTTCAGCCTCGCCTCGTACCTCCTGCCTTCCTCGCTCGCGCACACGCTGCTGTTCAACATCGTGCATGTCCTCCTGAGCACAGTGCTCCGGCTTGCCGCGCTGCCCGTGCTGCGCGTCCGGCACGAAATGCAGTACCCTCTGCCGACGTGGCACGACGCTGCGTTCGCGCGCGTGTGGTGGGTTGCGCTCGGGTGGGCGCTGGCGGACGTTGCGGTGGGCACGGCGCAGGGATACGAGCAGCTTGCTCTCTATCGCGATGTCATGGTGCCGGAGGAGAGGGTGCGTGAGCTGTTGCTTGGCAGGGCAAGCGGCGCTTCGGAGAGCGCAGGGAGGAAGAGCCGTGCGTCGCCAGGGGAAGTCGTTGCTCTGAGCCCACGCCCTGCCCAAGATGGCGAAAATGGCATGCAGAAGCCTGCGAATGGACATTCAGAGAGTGTTGAAGACGCGCTCAGGCTGGCTGTGGACAAGGACTTGGAGGAGCTCGTGCGCTTGAAGGACAGGGAGGAGCTGGAGGAGATATACGGCATTGCACCGATTGTATGTTTGACCGTTACTGTTCTGCTGGGCGAGATGCTAAAGCCGCACGGCAGGACATCCCAGTGTTTGTTTCCTCGCTACAACGCATCGACTCGCTCGTCCTCTCTCTCGGCCTTACGCTCATTCTTGCGTGGGCTTACCTCTGCTCGCCGCTTGCATTTTCCGACATCGGTCTACCGCCGATCTACTCTCACCGCGCTTTCGCCATCACATTTCCTCTCATCTACATTTTACTTCTTTTCCTCGCTCTCCTCCATTCCCCACTCGTCCTCCCTCGCATCGGAGTTCACACCACTGCCTACATCGGCTTGCTGCTCGGGCTGGGAAGTGTGTTCGCAGGTCTGGGCTTGTGGGGTGCGTTGTCGTAGTGCCGATAAGTCGATCCAGGAGACCGCAACTTTTGATGAACACACTAGGATCAACGCTGATCTATGTGACAATCTGACTTGCATACGTTGTACAAACTTATATCTGTATCTTCCCTGTGTCACGATTGTCAGGTCGATGGCGTGGTTCTCGCACACTATCGATGCGGCCGGGTGTCTACTAAACAGAGTTTATGCAAAGAGAATGGGAGACGAGTCAAGCTGCGGTGGCAAGCTATATCTTTCTCTTGTTTGATGTTGAGAAGTGTGAAAGTTCCTGCCTCCTCTTCCTTCCCGCCTCCTTCTTTCGCGGTCTCTGCACCTCCTCAATGTGCCTCTTCTGTACTAACTACAAGAGACAGCTGCAGGAACATGAAGGCTATGGGGCATCATAATGGTGTGACTCATGAGTTGAGCTGTGATTAATTGATCATTCACAACTGAGTGCATGGGCCTTCGCCAAGCCCATTCTAATGTCAAGGGCATTGGCTGATAGTTGCCGGCTGTTATTGGCTGGGAGAAACGATGCCGCAAACCGATGTCGGAGTAGCGCACGACGAACCCAAAACATTTTGAACGCGAAACGCGGTCACGTGAAGTAGAATAGCTTGACATTGTGATCCTATTGAATCGTGCAAATGCCAACAACGATCGCAACTTTGCACACCTGCGGAATACGGCTGTCTACGCTTCCCGCGCTAAAGTCAACCCTAAAGTAGGACCACGGCAGAAGGTAACGATGTCGCCGTAGCGCTCCCCGCCCACAGCTTCATCGCCGCCTTGACTCGCTTCCTCAGGCTGAACTTTGCGTACATGAGCTGCCGCTCCCATCGCTTCCATAATTGCCGTCTCCGTTGACCGATATGCGTGCGTTACGTCTTCGCGTTTGCCCCTCACTACAGGCATCGCTTCTCGCGGCCTCGCGGACGTGCCTGTCTCCTTCACCGTGGGCGTCTACAGGCCCGCCAGGACATCCAAGCACAGCGGAAGTCTTTCCCGCCCCCGTCATCCTGTCTCTTTCAATCTGCCAATACATGACCGGGAGGGTGGCCTTTCAATCGCCCCGAGTTGATTGACTGCATCAGCTCGCTCTGGTCCGGTATTTGTGACCAGCATCGCTATGGCAGCGCTGTATCTTCATCAAGCTCTGTTTGCTCCAGAGCCGGCCGTGCCGCCTCTTCTAGCCTCCGCCCCCCTCAGCGCGCGCTCCTCTTACGACCCACGTTTGTCTTCAATTTCTACGGCCACCCTCCACACCGCGTCCCACTCTGACCGCTCACATCCCACCTCGCCTCTCCTGCACGCACAAGATGTTGACTCGCCTGCGTACTTGGACCTGCTCGCGCGACAGCCACGACATCCGAGCCTGCCCAGCAGTCCTGCGGAGACTGCGTTGCAATTAGACGGTGATCCGGCTACGCCCATCGAGCGCAGGAGCCGCTGGGAGCGGAGAATCCGCAGGAAATTGCGGAGACTGAGATGGACGAAGCGAATACTACTAACGATTATTGGTATGTGCCAGAATTCTCAACATGCTCGCTCGTTCTGACAAACGATATGCAGCTGGATGGGCTACGTACAACACCGTTCGTTACTTCCTTGCATTCGCCACGTACAAATATCGCAAGAGACAAATAATCACGCTCGCCCTCGGTTCGAGCACTGCACTGTCGCTCACTCTGCTTATCCTCTCCCTCGTGATCTCCGTGTTCGCTCCTCGACTTGGCCGGATATATCGTATCGACGCGCCACACGTCGTCTTGCAGACCGTGCTCAACTACGCCTCCTCGACCTTGCTGCTCGCACCCGCCATCGTAAACCTCGTCCTCACCTCCCTTTGGCGACATTCTGCCAACAGCAACTACACGCTCGTGGGCCGTTGCCATTGGGACATTGACGTGGTGTGGTCCGGCCTCGGCAAACGATGTGCGTCCTCGCCCGCCTGGCAATACTGGGTCGCTGGCGCAGCGGTGCGCGTCGCGCTTACGGCCGCGTTCGTGGTGCGCTTCTCACTTCTCCGTTGCTACGTTGCCGAGTTCCTGACCCATTTTCATTTTCCCAGGCTGCGTACCATCTGGCTTCCTACCAATATGACGTCACCCGGCAACCTTCGCGTCGCAGGCGGCATTCGCGTTCGCAGTCGGGCGCATCCCAGCCTTTCATCGCGAGCGCGTCCGCGTCGGCTGGGGATCTGCGCCCACCGGTGATGTCGAGTGTCTCCTCGCCGTTGTCGCCGGCGTTGATGGAGCACGTTGGTCGGCAGCCGTCGATGAGCACCTCGGAGGGCCATATGACGGCGGAGAGCTTCTCCAGTGCCGCAGAACACCGTCCCTTGCGCAGCTCAAAGGCGCGAGTTGCGTCTCAGAATTTTCTGAATAGCAAGGCGAGGGAGGTGTATCAGCTGCCTTCGGCTCGAGAAGAGAAGGAGCCTGGTTCAGCCGCGGTGAGCTCCGTGGAGGGTGATCATGATGACGCGACGTCATCGTCTGAAGGCTGCTATTCACTACCGGATGAGTTCGACCGGTATGGCCAGCAAGTCCGAAGACTCCCAGGAGCTTACAGCCACTCCTCGCCTTCCACTGCTCTGGACATGCAAGACGATGACCATGTACCCCCTGCGACGTTTCCCGACCATGACCTCACTGCCTTCGCCGACCGTTTCCGCAACCTGGTCGATGTGTTATCACGCGAGACTGAAGAAGGTATGGCCCTCACGCAGCACGACCGGCCACGCTATTACCCCGCATACCTACCCTCCCTGGACTCCACCTCCAGCGCACAGTTTCCTTGCGATCTTGACGACGACTACGTACCCGTCTTTGGCCGCACGGTGCATCGGATGCCGACGATCGAGTCGCTCGGCTCACGCGAACTCATGAGTCTCGCGGGCTCGAGCATGCATCGCGCGTCGCCGGGACCGCACCATATTTCGCGCCCGTCGACCCGGTCGAATAACCTGAGTATGAGCGAGAATGGGACGAGCACGCCGTCGACGCGGAGTCGCGCGAACAGCCTTGATGCTGCGCTGGCGCTCGCGTATCCTCCTGAGGATGTACAGGAGGACGGTGCCGAGCAGCGGAGAGATGGGGAGGAGATGCGTTTGAATTCGAGAGGATCGGGGAGCGGGAGCTCTGCGTCGTATAGAAGCGGTAGAAGTCAATGACGGGTACTGTTGTGAAGCTTCGATCGCGACGCACCACAGGCTTCTCCTGTGTGCGTGCGTCTCTCGCGCTCTCTTCGTCAGCTGGGGTACCTGATTGGCAAATGGAGGAGCTGGGTTGGGCCGTTCAGCCTGGATGCTGGCCTTGCGGCAAACGGTTGGTAACTTATTTATGTGTCAAGATGGACTTGGTGGCTTTGGCGAATCCGCCTATTTCACGGTCTTTTTTTCGAATTCGCAGCTTGACGTGCGCTCACGAATATGATGCTATACCCGTCATGTCTCACTGCTCTCGGCTATAGACGTCGACATCGCCAACTCTGTGAACGTAGGGCACTACTTTCCTCATGTTCAGGCTGTTACGCAGACTTCTTGGCTTGGTGCGGATTGCCCCCAGACGGACTCACGATTGTGGAGATTGTACTGTGGTCGTGGAGCGTATGAACTCGGGATTGTGTAAGCGCATTAACCATGAGGCGAGGATTTGTGTCCGGTGAGTTCATTTGAGCATCGGAAAATGAAGGCACACGCGGGGCACCTTCGCGAAGTTCATATCGTCCGGCAAGTTACAGAGTCTTCTCTGGTGTCGGGCGCAGGGGTACGAAGTCCCTCGTACTCATACTCACGGTGTTATCTTCGAAGGCTGACTGATTGCCTGTGGTAGTAGTGAGCATTGCCACGAAACTCGGAGCGTCCAGTAGGACGCGTCCTTGAGAGGATCCGAAATGCTTGAAATTCGCCTGTGTGGGCCCTTGGGCTTTATGAAGCCAAGACAAGCCCGTTACTTCATCCGAATCCCGCGGGGTGCGGCCCATGATACTTTCGTTGAACGTCAGTGGTACGAATTTCCGTACCGGACAGACTTCGATGTTGCCATGATGGATGGGAGGAAGCGTATTGCCACGGACATTCGCCTGTTCCGCTATGACGGTGCCAGCGATGACGCAAGGGTAATTTGTCACCCGCTGTCTTCAGCTCATACCTCGCTCCTTGGACCACAACCACTTGCTTTCATTAAGTCCTCTTGGTTGCACGACGAGTCCCCACCATCATGGTAACGATTTCCAATGCGATGAATCCCCCGAGGAATTGAAATTCGCTTCGCCCTAAACCCTTACAAATGCAGGAAAGCTGCAGCAGCTCAGGGCAGAGACGAGTAGCCTACGGCCTCATGTCCTGCCGCGCTTCGGTGACTTGACCTCGGGCGCTTCTGGCGCAGGTAGAGCGCGAGATACTACAGGTGAGAACAGACTAGCGTTCCGACCCTGAAACAGAGTGCAAGCTCAGCGTCCTTCGTTTGCAAATAGTGGAAACCGCGTCTAAAGGTGCTCACACAATGCTAAACATGGGTGCTAACTATCGCGGCTCACAATTTCCCGTGTGTTTCTCCGCTCTTTCTCCCACTCTGCCCCATTTATGACACTGCGCGTTCCGTCACTTCCTCAGGTGATGCCTTCTTTCGCCGAGTTGATCACCGAAGTCAGGTTCGCGGCCAGGTAGAAGTTTTTTGTGAATGCTACCCTGGAGGCTGGTTGGTCACGTAATCGTACCACTTTGACTAATCTGCGCAGTGTTGTTCTCCGATGGCGCTGCGATTACGGATGGACGCCTGTGTCCTCGGCACACCAGTCATACACAGAGACTCCCGCATTTTCAAGTATTCGGACTGAGAATCCTCGGAGGGAATGATCAGGGCTCACACCATCGTGCATCATCAATGACCCGAAATTGATTCAGACAGGCTCGGTAGCTACTGTGGTGGCAGATTGCTTGAAGTGCGTCATGTCAAGTACAGGTAGCAACTAGGTAATCTAGGAGTTACGTGATGCGAAAATTGAAGGTAGTCTCCACGAACATCTCCAGCTACTTCTGCGCTGACCTGCATTTCACACTTGCTGTTAGGGCTCGTTCACGGTTGCCAGACGTATGTGCACGTACACTGGTACGTAGCTGCAGATGAGTCCCCGACGAATGCAATTTGCGCACGTCTGTCGCCCATCGCATTTCAGCTTGCGTGCTGAAAGCCGCCGTTCATAGCGAGGAATCGGTCAGCAAAGGATCCATACGTGCAACAATGGCATCACCTCTGCAGAATTGACAAGCCATAGGCGTCCTCCGAGGAACCCTCTGGTAGTCAATGTCTTCTCGGTCCGAATGGGCATTTTCGTTGGAATAGGAGCTTCGATCCTGATTGTCGCTTTTCTACATCCCGGGCATGAGAGGACGCATGCAGGCAAGTACTCGGCCACTCACATTCTGTCGAGACATTTCAAAGTGAGGATAGTAGAAGGCTGAACCTTGGATGCTGTTTGCGATGAAGAAATGCGTCCAAGTGGTTCAGGCTGCCTCTCTTATATGAATCCTCGTCGGAGAATAATTGTCAGGGACGAGCTGATGAATTACGATGTCCCGTACTATCGCACACATATGAAGCAGTGGCACGCAATACCATGCGGTAGTTCAGCACAGGCTAGTGAACGCTGGAAGGAGGAATGGAACAATTCATTCATCACATTTCGGCCTGACAAGCAAGGAGCAGTATAGATTTGATGGTATCCAGACGCCTCCCCAGCGACAGAGTACCGTATCTGGTATGCTGGCCACGATCCTATAAGGACCAATCGTGACGAGGACCAATTGAAGCGACCAACAGCTGCATGTCTGAAGCCGTCATACATATGTGTGCCACCTTAAGTTCTTAGTACCCGATCTCCCAGTGTACAAAAGGGAATATCAATTCTTGAGTCTCGCTGACCCTTCAGCGCGAAAACAGTATCCGATTGGAGGTTGGACACTTGCAGTGTGCTTTGTCAAGTCATTCATTGGTCGCAGTGCTTTTGAAAAAACCGTCGACACCCTAATACTGCGCGCTGGATGGTTCTAACTTCTGCAGTCCAGATTCTCATCAGAGCCAATGCCGCAGCGAGAAATGAATACTTTCCCGTACATTCCAATGCACTGTTGTTCGCAACCGATACGTAGTATACCTAATGCTATTTATGGACGGCGACCGTGCTTCCTGCAGGCTATTATCGTTGCGATAGCGTTCACGCAGTCGGCGATTACGCCAATCTCAGGACAAATGACGGAGCCGCAGGGGCATCTGGGGACAGTCAACGCATTACGTTTTACCCGGGAGATAGTGAACCTTGCTGTCGAGCTGACTCCGAACAGAGGGACGGGCAGGTGGGATTTCTGTAAGGCGGTTATTTGCCTCACTTCCATTGATTAAAATGGGTGACTGCATCAGATCAAAAGGCTTATCGTAAGTACGCTTACTATTACACTTCTGCTGGTTCGTTCGCAGCGTTGAAATTTTAGTCGAGTATTAATTACATGGTTCTCTTACGGTCGTGTACTAGTTTTCACACGCACTTAACAAGACGAGATCCATGAATAACATCATGCCGACAAACATACCACAGCGGATCGATTGGACCAGCTTAGAGCCGCCTAGAAAAGCACTCAACATGACTGTCGCAACTATGCACGATATCGACACATTCGGATACTGCTCATGCACTCCAAATCGGAGACTGGTCACGTTCGACTGCGCGACGTGGCGGGGGTTTTTTTTTCGAATACGTTACCGTTTGACGCTAATAGAAGACAGTCCTTGGTCCGCATTTCTTCATTTCTGATTCATACAAGGACCACCATGAGAACCCGTCATGTGCTTGGACGATAGTCAATTCCTACGATGAGTGGTTACAATGATTAAGACTTGAGAAGCTACAAATACAGAGATGAGTGCTGTGCTATGCGTGGTCATGTGCGGGAACATCTCGTAGGCCCTAGGAGAACACGCCTCCTCAGAGTGTAAGCATATCCATGTGACCTTTCTCGCTTTCCTCTTCGCCTGGAATATCGTCCAACTGAATGGATGGCATTAAACACATGCAATTACATATGAGCCATGATAATTTACCTTATCGAGGTCGGCGAGGCTCGACTCAATAATCTTGACAGCTTTCATTAGGTCCTCCTCGGAAATGACAAGCGGAGGTGCAAAGCGAATACTGGAAGGCGAGTCAGTCAATGGGCGGCCAACAAGTTGTATACGGAAGAGAGTCTGACATATCAACATGCGTAGGTTTGGCAAGGACGCCTCTGCTCTTGAGGAGCAGACAGAATTGCCATGCAGTGCGGCCTTTGGTGCTAGCACTCTCATCGATGACGAGCGCATTAAGCAATCCACGCCCGCGGACAGTCTTAATCAGAGGAGACTTGATGGCCCGAACTGCAGAGCGGAACTTCTCTCCAAGAACCTCTGCGCGTTCCGCCAGCTTTTCATCCACAAGAACGTCAAGTGCCGTCATAGCTACGGCACATCCCAGAGGGTTCCTATGTCCGTACGCGATGCTCAGTATGTGCCTTGCAATGTGCCTCAATATCACTCACCCCCCGTAGGTGCTGCCGTGCTCTCCGGGTTGAATACAAAGCATGACATCCCGGTCAGCGAGCACTGCCGATACAGGATAAACTACATTCATGTATGAGCATACCGCATGTCAGTGAATTTGCAAAACTACTTGACCTCCTCCAGACAAAGCCTTTCCAAGTAATACGATATCTGGTCTGACGTTGTCGTGTTCGCAGCACAACATCTTTCCTGTCCTGCACAGACCCTAGATGATCGTTCGGGTTATTGGTTACTCAGTGATACAATACGACCGTATATAGGCTCACGGTTTGGATCTCATCGCAGATTAACAAGACATTATGCCTGGTGCAAAGCTCGCGGGCCTTAGCTAGGTAACCCGCTGGAGGGACCACGATGCTGTGTATATGGAGGTCAGTCGTAGCAACAGATAGCATGCAGGGCGAAACACACCCAGCTTCGCCTTGGATAGGTTCCACGAGGAAGGCGGCCACATTCTTTCCGTGAAGCTCCAAGGCACGTTCCAAGTCGGAGATCTCGCCGTATCGTATCATCTTCACCTCACCGTTATCTTCGTAGGTCGGACCGACAGCCTGGAGGTAGGGCCCGAAGCCGGCGCGGCTCTCCGGATCTGTGCTCATGCTGATCGGAAACAGCGTGTCAAATGCAAAAGTCTACTTTTGAATTCCCCGAGCGCGTACCTAATGACTCCGATGGTTCGCCCGTGGAAGTTACCCTCTGCGCTGAACACAATGGCTTTCCCATCTGGAACGCCCTTCTTCTGATACGCCCACTTCCTGGAGAGCTTAATGGCGGTCTCGACCGCTTCGGCACCTGTGTTCATTGGAAGGACCATGTCGTATCCAAACATCTGCGTGACCTTCTGGGCGAAGCGGCCGAACATCGAGTTATAGAAGGCTCGAGAAGAGAGCGTTAACTTCTGAGACTGCTGGACCAGAGCGTCCACGATGCGTGGATGACAATGACCCTAATTCATACAAGTGTGAGTACTAGGTTCAACTGGCTGGCTGGACGAAATCGAGAGCGGGAGATAATCTCCGGGTCAAGACACTGCGCGCTGCAGTGGACCTCATGCTCTGTATGAACGGTCACTGCATTTGTCATAATAGTGAGACACTGGGCGTGAGCGTGGCAACTAAGTAGTCGCAAGGATCTGTAATCAGACTCTGCGGCGAACGTTGGTGGGCGTGCATGCATCGTGTCTCAGCATGTCATGTCTGCGATAAGACCGCGATGCCCGCCGATGACATGCGAAAGCATGAGACCAGTCGCGCCAAAGCAGGAAGTACGACGATCCCATCGAGCAGATGGATTGTATACAGGAGTGCGCTGAAGTCCTGCTAGTTCGAAAGCGGAGATACCGACCTGGTTTACGGCTCTGAATGCACGAGCTTAAGTTAAAACGGCAGTAGAAGGACAGCCAGACACAATTAGCAACTCACGAATAAGCAGACAACATGTCAAGATACTCCCGGCCCTCCGGGTCCCACACTCTGTGTTCCAAGGATCAGCTTTCGAGCCACACGCCAAGGTGCATGCATCGCTCACTTAGCACCCTTCGCGGACTCGAAGACGACAGGGAGAGGGTGGTAGCTGTTCCGAACGGCATCAGTACGGATACAATGGATGAGCAAGAAAAAGGAATGGGCGAACTATCTCTGGTGCGCTCCGGACGATCATCGCTCCTTCCGACTGGGAATGGCATCAAAAGGGAAGGGCCTCGGTGACGGTGGTATATACCAGCAGAGTAACATGCGACTCACTTGTGTGCCCCATATTCGTGCTCCAGCCTGATCACGTCTGCAGAGGACAGATGCACCTCTCCGCCACCGCCACTGTTATTCACTGCCGATTTCGCAGATCCATTTCCGTTAGCAGAAAAGCCCACGACTGAGCGCGATGAAACCATTTCAATGTGCAGAGGATATTTCGCGATAGGTCGATGTGGTGACGGAGCAAGAAGGAATACGGCTCAACTTTGAGTCACGCCTCGCCAATACGGCGCACCGGAAAAGGAAATGTCAAGCGGATCAAGCCACCAACACCCAATGGCATTTAGGCGGTCGAGCCTCTGCTAATCCACCAAAAGCACTGCTATGTCCGAAAGCATGATGATGCGATGGTATGAATACATCGTGAAGCTATATGTAGTGCGACCTGTATCAATACAATGATCGGCAGCTATATTGTCCCAAAAACGAGAGAAAGCAAAAAGATAGCGTGAGCTTGCGGATAGTACTTATATAGATCAGCGCCGCGGTCTCTTCAACTACATTGAAATAATACACAAGATCAGTTCCAACGAATGTGGTCCTGGATGAAGTGTGAGCTTCTTTACCTTGAACAAGCCGTAGCTACTGCAACTCGCGTGGCCACTCGCTACGTGGCCTCCAGCGCCCTTCAGCATCGAATCGCGGATTCGTCGGATACGTCAAGCCATCCTGAGGGCTCCGTCCAATCGGCACTACCAACAATGCGGAAAGTGAGCGGGACAGGAAAACCCGGCATCGCAAGGAGGAACTTACGGAACCATTCCCAGACGTGATGTCCCATTACTGACTCCCAGTTCTTCCGGTAGCTACCGAGCCACCACAGGTTCCCTTCAGTGCCAATTTCGCCCCACTCCTGATCCCACTGTTTTCTCTGGCGTCTCTTCGCTCTGAGAAGGCCGTTAGCATCATGTGTAAAACCTGCAGAGAAAACGACGATCTCACCCGAATTGGTGCCAGGCATACAAGCGTGCCAGAACCCTGTCCTCCTGTTCCTTCATCCGTTGCATGCTGAGCGACTCAACGGTAGTCAAGTTGCGCAAGATCAAGATGGCGTGCGATCCCAACAGTGCACTCGTGAAGAAAGCAAAGAGTGCTGACCTGCTCAACACAATGAGCTGACTTTCACAAAATCGGGAGATCGGCACACGTACAGCGCGATAATGACGATTATCTGAGGATCCACGGTACTAAATCGTGTACCAGACCTGATAACCTCTGCCATAGTTGTAGAGAACGTCCACAGGCAGAATAGTAGACCCCATTCTATGAAGATCACGAAAAACTGTGTTGAGCGGTGATGAGCAGCACTAGGTTGCACGGATTTAGAATGACTCACTCTATGGTTGCGGGCACCCACACACTGACCAATCCCTTAACGACCACCTCGTCACACGATGCAATCTCACGAACATCGAGAAGCCACTCACATGGACAGTGGTGATCATATCTGAGGACGCACTGAGAATGCGGTCAGATGGATACGATTCGTAAGCGCGAGATGATTCTCATACGGTTCCACATGCACGACAATGATGCGCTCGCGGAGGCTTTACAAAGCCCTCTTTATAACAGTACCTATATTCCGGAAGAAGCACGGGGTCCTGAGATGGCCTTCTCGTGAACATCATGGGCAATGCTTGACTTGAAACTTTGTTTGTCTCTGCTTGAACGATACCCTTTGCGTTTTCGACATGGGCTCCAGCGGCAGCGGGTATCGCATCTGTCATTCCAGCGTTCACTTCACCTATGATAGACGATCCTTGAGTTGCAGATTCCGCTAAATTCTTTTGTCTGACGAACCATCAGCTGGTGCACTGGCAGATGCATCTGCATTGCTATAATTGGAATCGTATTGTGTCCCATTCATTTGTGTTTGCTGGGGTGGAACATATTGGTAAGAGGCGCCCATAAGGTCTCTTGTGGAATCCCACCAAGTCGGCACAGCGTTGTCAAATACCGGTCGTGGCGACGGTTGCACATACTGCAACACATTCACTGGTCACCCTCACACTAACCGATGATTCAAAAACTCACTTGCTTAGCCAAGCCAGGCGAAGTCAGCACGACCTTGAATCACAACGTCAGTAAGCCTTCTCCTCGGCAGGATGCGCAGCATGCCTTCATATACGACCACAGCATCATAAGACCCAGCACGCAGAACACAACGAGGAAGGCGACTGAAGATCAACCCCGTTCCCAATCAAAACGTAATCGCCATCGTCGAATGAACGACGTACCTCCCATGCCCCTTCCACCCAACATATGCTTGTGTCGCTTAATCATCGGCACGCACAGTCTTCCGATGTACACATAGAACGCGTATGCAATGATGCCCAAGGTTATCACGATGGCGAGCTTGAGGACGATCCATGGCATAGGCTTCTGCCGTCTCTTCTCTCTCTTTGCTCTCGAATGTGCGACAGCTTCCTCCATGACGCCACAGCACTTGTGCTCTTTATCGTTCCCTGAGTCTTCATGTTTGTCCATAAGATGACAGGTATACAAGCGAGCGGGTATCAATTGTGAAAGCAGTGGAATTCCGAGGTAGGACGAGGTGAAGTCAGCGAGCGACGCACCTCGCGCCACAGCATGATTCCAGCCACACCATCACGTGAGTGAGTCTTTAAATACCGCTTCTCTCGCATCCACTGCGAGCAAGGAAAAGCTGAAAACTGGACGCTAGTAATTCGTGTGCTCATGCCCACCTGGACCGTGACCTCGCCGCTCTCATACCATTACATCAAATTCTCCGTATCCCCACCTTGCACGGACGCACTATTATTGCGAAAGTCGCTCCAAGACGCTCTCGACCAGTCGTTTGGCCTAGTCTCTGCCAATACATACGTCGACGTGCTATGGGTTTCTGAAGAAGGATCAGAGACAGTTGTCCGGATCGCCCACAGGTGAATACAGCGTTTGTATGGCTTCTGTCGGAGAGTTTGCTCATGTGAATACGTTACATATTCGACAGGGAGGCTGCGAAACTGATGGCTGCCACTACCGTGTACCAAGGACCACGCAAGCTGTCTGTATTGAAGGAGTCTCCATTCCTTCCGACGCTATCGTCTGTTCAGATAACGTTATGACAGTGTCTAAAGTGCAGTCGTACTCGAAATCGCTACAGCATGTTCGAACGATCGTACCGCTTCGGTGCTTCTGCGCCATTATTCGGTCGTATGCGCGTAAAATGCCTCGACACAAAAACATGGATGCATCTGCACCGGACTCAGTCTTGCGAAAAGTCAACATCCATGTAGTAGAAATTGAACGCCATAGCTGAGATATTTGCTACACGCGCTCTTCTATCGTACAAATTGTGCCCATGCAGTCGTAGAGTAGCAGGATGAACGAGCCGAACAGAGACGAGAATGCGCTCAAGCAGCGCCGGAAGCTAATCGTTTCTTCGCGTATCCGACAAAGTCATCAAGTGTCGATGGCCACGCAGCTGGGAGAATCGCAGTCAGAACCCAGCCACAGTGTCCATGCAACGTACACGTACCCTCCGTATCGTACTTTTCGAATTTCCCGTCGATCGTGCGCACAAAATCGAGAAACTAAGCCGGCCAAGCTCTGCGTATCAGGAAATTTTCCGCAGCGTGAAGACATGCCGTGACGCACCATTTGCCATGTGTCTTTGCTGACACCTCTCCCTCCCTTCTCGTTGAGGAAGTCGAACCACCACTGCGTGTACTCCTCCTTCCAGCCCTCTTCCTCCGCTGTCTGCGCACCTTCCTCCTCTCCATCGCCCGAGCGGAGGTGTGACAGCGCGCCGCCTCGTAGGCCATGGGGTATCAAAAGAGCCCAGAATGCCTCTGCCATGTCCAATCCTATGTGCGAATGAATCGACGTCGCGGAGATACAGCCCATTGCGGACTCACCAAGACTCCGTTGCCCCGCCGGCCTAGAAAAGTCAAACGTAAAGTTGTATACCCGCCGGAAGTACTCCGGGTCGGATCCCAGCTTGTCTCGCAGCCGGGGAAGAGTGCTCTTCATAGCCGATATGGAGTCACACCTGCCATGAGAGCGGCATTAGACGATTCATGCATCGTAGCAGATTATTGACGCACCCCAAAGCTTTCCATCCATCGACCCATCCTTTCCTCGACCACTCTCCCATCCGCGGAGATTTCAGGTCGTACGCCACCGCGAGCAACACGACATCCTCGGGATCCACTCCGAGATCTGCACAAAATCGGATCGTGCCATCCGCCGTGATCTCCTCCCCGTCCGGATCTGTCACCGTCGACTCAGATCGCGCGCGCGCACCCGCAGAATACACGCCAGCTCCCACCTACCTTTGTACTGGTCAAAGAGGTGGCCCAGCTTGCTCGTAGAGGCGGCGTTCCGCGGAACGGTTTGTGCGGAGAGCGGATCGTTGTAGTATGCGTCGATCGCGACCTCCAACCGATTATATTTCTCGATATACCGTCTCGCTTCCCGGGGCCTGCATGTTGATGGCTCGTGAGACTCCCTCTCGCTACAACGTGCGCGCAACTTCTCGAACAAATACTGAGAGAACTCACGGGAGGCCTGTCACTGCAACAAACTGCTCGATCCTTCCGTCCATCTGCTTGTCGGTTGTCGACTTGGATTTCGTTGACCTCGACTAGGCGCGCGTAGGAGTGCGATGGAGTGCGAATACGGCGTGCGATGATTGGGTTTGCATTATTAGCCTCCGTCAGCATCACCGAACTTCCTTCCGGGGAGAGCCGCTCACCATGATTTACACACGCTAACGAGCTCAATGCGCTTGAGTGAAAGGATTGATGGTTGTCCTGCGATACAAAGTAAGGAATATAGAGTTTCTGCGTGATGCAGCTGCAAGTCGACCTCTAACGTTAACCGCGGTGCGATCATGCTGTCGGCGATCGCCGCTGATCTAACAAGCGCTTAACCTGAAATGATGGACGCCGCCATCCGCCTCCGACCCATCGCAAGAACGAACTGTCACGACGCCTGCAACGCAGATATATCGGTAGCTCTGCGGCTCACTAGCACTCCTCGTGGACCGTTCAAGGCGGCAGCGCTATCATGCGGGCGCCGTTCTCTACCGTGACCTGAACACATTGACAAGACTCTCTTTGCTCATTCATTCATGGCCATCTGTATCCAATGAGATTGCGCCATCAAGCAAAGAATGCCTCGCACCGTGCGCATGACCTCTGACGCAGACTTTGACGCTACCCCGCATCACTTTTGAAATGATTAATGAGTCCTCGACGTCACGACAGCTCAAGCTCCCGCTACGCGGCCTCGACAGCCGACAACGTGCAATATAACACCGCGCACTGACAGACTGAATGGCCTGCTTCTGTGACGCGCGCATCGCATCTCCGCACCTTCCGATCGTGAAACGATGATGATGCATGATGCATTCATTCATTCACCTCATCTCAGAAGCACCTTGCATATTTAACGGACATGACGATGACGTTGCATCATGCAGTACGTCACTAACAACGCATCGCGCGACTGACTGCACGATGTACAGAGCCCGTTCCGTCCGTATCTGATAGGTTCCGTCCCGAACGCGAAGCTCACTTCCTCCGTCCGTTTTGGTACGTAGAACGCGCCAACCCAAACCGCACGATCGTCTTCCCGGCGCGGCGAGGGCTTAGTTGTAACCCGGCCAGTGCTGCTCCTCGCTCCTACGCCAACGGTAGTCCGCTGCTAACACCCAACATTCCGGCTGTACGAACAACCCCCCACGGCCACGACCGCCTGTTTCTGAGCCCAGAAGCTGCCCGACCCGCGCGGCTCTCTTTCTGTTCCACATCACATCACACACCCACTTTCACGATCGAGACGATCGCTGGTACGCCGCTGACGCTAACCACAAGAAGCCCCATTCAGTCATCCCAGGAGCCGACACACGCCGAGCCCGCTATCTATACCAAAGGCGCGGCGCAGCGCAGGCTCGCATGCTAGATCGCTCAGCATTTACGTATCGTGCTGGTGCTGGTACCCTAAAGCATGGAAGCGCATGCCCGCGCGGGGGTCGCTATGTAATGCAAAGTCACTCTTTACTTCTCCGGCGACTTTCGGGAGTTCCGAGTGCCAGATGATGCGATGTTTCGGATGGCCGCCTGTCCGTGCTCTTCCGGGACGGACGGGTCGATTTGCAGAGTGTGCATCCCTTTTTCCCGGGAACGTCCGCGGGGTGGTGAGATAATTTGTGAAGGGGCATCACACTCTAATTTACAAAACATTAGGATAGGGTCGCGGACAATCTGGACAGCAATATTGGGATTCTCGACGCAGCACCCTCGGAACATTAATCCTCGGCCACCATTGGTCCAATAGCGAGTATTTCTGTCCCAGGTCAGCTCATCGCCCCACGGATCATCTTGGTCTCACGTCTCACACCCTCGGAGCCACATGCCTCAGGCTGAGGCTGAGGCTGAGGCTCTACGCTGGCAAAAGTCTACTCCGCTCAGGGGCTTAGGCACGCATACGTATATCAATTATCTCATAAGTAGCACGAACGATGTGTCTTGTCACCACGCCGCTGGCGAATGGCAATTGATGGGGACGCTTGGCGCGCGCGCAACCGTGCCCCTTTGTGATCTTTGTGATTTGTGGCTCGCGTCGCCTGCAGAAGAGCCTTCCGTACCCGTGCCTTGTGGCCAGCAGGATCTGTCATCACGCATGCAGATAGAACCTATCCCGCGCACGGACCGCTCTCACGCCCGGGTGGTGATGGGTTGGTTGGGGAGACGTCACGACGCGAGGATCCAGCGAGGCTTAGCTACACCTCCGACTCGTCCTCTCCATCCAACCATACACAAGACGAAGACGCAGAAGCCGGGGAGCGGCACCCTCCACAAGGCCAGAAGACGCTCGCCCCTGCTCAAGCTCCCAAGTCGCCGTTTGTATTGCGCGGCGCTAAAACGCCTGACGAGAGCGTGTCACCAGTCCATTACGCTCAAGCAACGTCGCTAGAATTAAGGGCCTCGTGAGCCGAGCTGCAGGCTCGATTACTCCGGATAGCGCCTCGCGTCGAGCACACCGAGGGTGTGATCGCCTCGCGCCTCGCGCTGGAAGATATATCGTCCCGAAGCGAGAGATCAATATTCAATGCAATGTGGCGCTCGTCCTACTCCGGCCCTCCATGTGCACAAGTTGCAACGTTGCACGGACCGCCTGCGCGCCGCAGTCCTCTGAACTTCGCGGCCAGATTGGTGCTAGGTCGGCGTCTGGTTCAATCACACGGAAGCATATCGGGCGAGATTGGACAGGATCTTTGGGCTGCTGATGGCCGAGAGTCGATCATGATCAGAGCGGACTGTATCATATCACATGGCCGGTTGTATAGGGGTGGCCGGGGCGAGACGAGAAATTATTATCATCTGCTGCGGCGCGTACATCGGATCAGATTTACATCGGCATCAGCGCGAACACATTCGCGACGAACGCGCATGTCAGCGGCGCATGCGAAGTACGGTATGGTAGTAACAAGATCCACTGAAGCACGGCCCTTGTCAATCAGGGTCGTGCACGACGGGAACAGGCGTTCTCACCGGCAAGGAGGAGGCTCACTTCACAATCACACGCTTCGTATGCTTTCCAGCACGCCGTCGCTCGTTGTGTGGCATCGGACGACGCCACGCCTCGTCAGGATCATCCCGATAATCGTCCGGGTGCAGCTCTACCTGTTTTCCTAGTGCAGCAGCAGGCATGGCAGGCTCCTGTGCTGGGCGCATCGGATAGCCGGCATGCGGCACGTCGACCGGAGAAGGGGCTGCCGGGTGCGTGTGGACGGCGTGCATCGATGGTGGTCCGGGGTAGACGGGCTGGGCAGAGACAGGGACGACTGGCACGCCTCTCCGACCCGCGGAGGGCGGCGCGAACTGGGGAGGCGGAGAGTGTGACAGGGGAGAGCGCTGTGCGGTGGCGTGTGGCGGGACGCCGTTGGGAGGAGCCGCAGTCCATTGGCGAGGCGCTGCAGGGTCGCGCGCTCTTGACTTTTGGTCGCCGTCGTCTCGGGGCATGTCTACTTCGATCTGGACGCGCACGATCTCCTTGCCCTTCTGGGCGAAGAAGTTTCGCTCCTGCTGGAGGAAGTAGCCGCTCGTCGGGCCAGGGCGGTGGTTGGTCGGTGGAGCGGCGGGGAAGAGAGCCATCAGTTCGTGGCCGGTCGGAGGGGCGGGGTATCGTCTAGTGCTCGCGTCATTAGTAGAGGAGAGGTCGACGTCTGGATGAATCGTGTGAGGGCGCTATGTCATCGACGTGGTTGGTACATACCTCGGAGGGAGGACGGAGACAGAGGGCGGCGGAGGCCGCGTGGGGCGGCTTGGGCAGAGGGGCGGTGGTTGAAGCGGGGACTGCGCTCGCTGGCGGTGGAGGTGCTGGGGGAGGTAGAGCCGTCGGAGAGGGTAGCGACGGGGCGGAGATGGAACTTGGCGGACATGGTCACAGGTGGTGGCGAAGGGCGAAAGCAGGACGCGGAGGGGCGGCTTATATCGGAGGGAGGGAGACATGGGCGGCGGATCCTGAAAGGAGGGGAATGTGGAGGAAGTAGAAGAGTAAGCGAGGATGAATTTGTCCAGGAGAGAGCTTCCCAGAGCTAGTCCTCGTTCATCCGATGTCGTTGATCAACGTTATGACTGGGCGCCCATCACACGTCCGGCCGGCCCTTGCTCCATTTGACAGTTCCTCTCAACATGGCAGCACTGATGCCCGGCCTTCGTCTATTTTACGTGATCGTTATTTATCGCAGTCCGTGCGTGCCAGTCTTGCTTCAACACGCCCGCCTCCCCTGAGGATCACTCGAGTGACTTGCGCCCAGCGTGGAGTTTGGGCGGAATTCTACTCTACTTCTTACTCGTGCTTTCCTCGGCTCCCCGCGGATCCAAGCACTCCTCGTCCCAGGACACTTCCATTCTCCCCCGCCTCCTTCTCGCCTTTTCGCTACGCTCGCACACGCCTCGAACCGACATTGGCACCGCTTCCGTGCCTCGATGGTGTCCATCTCGCTCACAAAAGAGCCGCTCAGCGAGCGTGCCATGTGAGTCGAAGCCACCTATGATCACCCCCAATCTTGCGCTTCGTCGGTCTAGAAAGGCGGTAATGGTAGAAGCTGACTACCGTGGATCAACTGCTCCACGCTTCCTGATAGGAGAGGCCCGCGTGCGTGTTCTGAACAGTCCTCGACGGTGGCCTCCTCTCGGACGTAGCGCGCAGTCCCGCGTCCACCTCGGCGAGTCTCCGGTATTCTGAACATCTACATACATCCCATCTTCTCATTCAAGCGATTCTGGCCTGCTCCGCGGCCTTCTGGTCTCGGTACCGTTACGATCTCCTCCATTACCATAAGCTGCCCCAGGCGCGATATTCCTGATGAGTCACGAGGAACTTGCATTCATTTGGCCTCATCGACGCACACCCTTCTTCTAGCCCATCCGTACGCTGTTGATCCGGTGCATTCAATTGAACCTTGTAGCGTGCAGACAAGCCGTTTCCGCTTTCGCACGCAGGTCCTCGTGCGAGGCGACGTCAGCGGTTCGTTCGTTCGTTAGTGCGTGGGCGAGGCGAGGATATATTGCTATCGCCATCTCAACTCCCTCTGCAAACTCTGTCATACGACTACAACGTCCGACGTGCACGCTGACAGGTGCTGCCAACGCAGCGCCGGCTGCCGTGGCTACCATCTGCTATGGACCCTTTTGATCTTCTTCGCCGATTCAGGCTAGCACGTTATGGAGAAAACGCCAGCGCCACCGTTCATCATTCCAATCCGTGCTAGCTACGGAGCTATCTACCTCAGGGACCAGAACAGTCATCCAGCATGAGTAACGGCGTCAGACACAGTTGTCTCCGATGACATCGTCCTTCGCAAGCGACTGGGCGAAGTGTCGGAAAGCGGGCATTTTGACGATGCGTGCACAGCGATACCTCCCGCGTATCAGAACAACGACCGCGGACCGCTTTTCAGCGCCCATCCCGGAAAAATACCTCTCTGCGAGCAGCTTCTCGAAGCCTCCACCTACGGATCACGCGTCTGCCACCTTCGCGCACCACGCAGACTTCCACGGACGCCAGTGCTAGCAAGAAGCGGTGAGTGATTTCCCTTCTCACGCGCGCGATGCGAGCCAGCCAGCCACGTACGCAGACGTGACACATCGAAGCGATGTGCTGTCCAGGAACACATTTCCTCCCCGTCTCCTCTCGCTGACGTGCACTGCCATTCCGGGCTGTCAGACGCTCTGCCGCTAGACACACGTAGCACGCAGGTCACGGCTGCGCGTGCGTGCGGCTGCGTGAGACCAAGCGGGCCGGATTCGCTCACGCTTTATGTACCGTGGAAGTTCCGCTTGTCCTTGTCTGAACCGCGTACGCCTGGTGCCATCGCGACGCGGTGTGCTTGCCCATGTCGGCTGCTGCTCGCTCAGAGGTGACCGGTGAGGCCTAGGGCTTGCTGCCGTAATGACATCAACCTCTCGGAGGGAACACGTCGGAAATTCGAGCGCGCAGGAGTCAGGACGCACGTCTCGGGCCTGCAGCTTCAGCTTCAGGGTCTACGTCGAGGGGCGGAGGCTTTACCCCAGTGACGTGCCTTCTCGGGAATTACTTCTTCTGCACGAAGACACGAAGACACGAAGCGCGAATTCATTCGCCACGGCTGCAGTAGTTTCGATCATGAAGCAGTCGCCCCTGTGCCAATTTACATTTGCCGCGTATGACGTGGCGCTCTCCGTTGAGGATTCGTTGGGCACAGAGCGGGCTGCGTTCTCGGACTTTCTCCGATGCGTGCATAGCATATCGGACTCGCGGAGGTGCGTGTGACTTGGCAGCGCGCGCGGTAGGTTCCCAGGTCATTCCGTACTTGCACAACCGCGCGCCGTGTTTGGTCCGAGTGTGTTTGAATTGGCTGCTAGGTATGGGCATTGGACGCATTATTGCATCGTGGACGTGCGTGCACCGGAAGGCTCCATATCCGGATCCGTCTGTGTGTGCGGTATAAAGCTTGAAGGTTAAAATAATCGCTGGCTGTATGTCCTGCGTCCTCCTCAGCCCTCGTGTGACGCAGCCACTTCATAGATAGCTGTGAGAGGTGATCAAGAATTATTTTAATCAATCGGAGCGGAGGAACAGCGATTGCGATATCATCCGTTCTTTGTGCGTTCAAGGTTCTCTTGGGATCCCTGTGCATGCATGACCCAGTCGAAGCGCGCGCACCGCGCATCGTGCGCTGTTGATTCTGGTGAGCGATCCGTGCACTCGGAGAAGAAGCGTTGAGCTTCTCCAGCTTGACTCCCCTTTCACAAAGACCCGTGACACGCGAGCGGAATTTTGCTGGATGCAAGATCCGACGGAGTAAAAAATCAGGTCTTCGTGATCGTAGTGTTCACGTCAACTTTTTCTTTGCCGCCAACGGGGTGGTCATCCTAGGACAGGCTGTCGTCCAACGTCCTTGTGCGATTGACAGGGTCCGCGAACTTCGATTCAAGCGCTGGAAAACTATCTCGCCCCTGCGGCACCAATGCGCTGCAGTTCAACTTTCTCGGAGAAAAACCAAAAGAAGAAAAGAAAACAAGAAAAAGAGAAAACATTACCAACATCTCATGAGATTCTGCGGGGAAGACGTTGAGGCTCAGGGCAACATATGATAGTCGCGGAAGGTACACAGATGCCAATGCGGCAATAGAAGGTGACACTATGAACTACGGCTATCAGGCGTGAGGTCTCGGTCCACCAGATTCATTACCACATGACGTACGAGGAGTAACACATCAACTCTACCCGAACTGAACGCCAGCATCAGCAGGTCGTAAGATCCGTCAATGAATTGGAAAGATGCTTCAATCGACGGAATCAGGAACACAACTCCATTATGATGCCTCCGACTTCTTTTTCCGTTTCGAGCTTTGAGAGCCCGAGCGTGTTACGTTCGGGTGATCCTGGTCCCTATTTCTCTTTTTAGCCCTAGCAGAAATCGAGCTGGGATCGTCGATGCCGGCAGGCTTGACGAAGCCGGCGGAAGCACGGGGCTTGACTTCGTCCAGTATGGCAGGCGCTGATGATGATGGTCGGGATTGCAGTATCGCATCTTCGCGTATCAGTTCTTGCGCCGTCTTCGTTCTCACCTTCTTGCCTTCTTTCTTCCCGACGGCAACTGGGACCTTGAACCCGGAAATGGCTACCGGACGGCGGTTCCTCAGCGCTGCAGCATCAACGCTATCTCCATCTTCATCCTCATCCTCCGCTTCGCTCTAAATATACTCATAAGTCGAGGAATGCGCGAGAACTGCGGCACAGCGCACCTCTTTTGGTACAACCTCCTGCCCACGCTCGTCGAAACGCCTACGACCCCGCAGAGCGGACGCATCTGACCGCGAGGAAGACGCCGCCTCGTCTTCCGCGGAAAACATGAATGGAACGTAGGAGGTCTCGTGGGTGACACGCGTCCTAGCACCAGACGTTCGGATAGAAAGTAGTGTGACTGGAGGCGTACCCACTCGGATTGTGTGCTGGATCCTATGCCCCATGCCTCCTTTGTCTCCTGTGACACCTCCCACTTGGTATCATCCTTGATTTTGGATTGTCCAGCCTCGACCTGTGCCTGGAGCTTAGCCCGCTGAGCATTTTGCATGAAGCGCAAGCCCAGCGTTGCATTGCTGATGCCCTTCCCCGACATCGTTCTTAATATTGGTGGAGCAGTAAACGGCAACACTAGACTTGAATAAAGGTTCACAATGGCAGCAGGTATGAAGTTGCAGCAAAAGAAAGCGGTACAGGTCGCGAGCCAAAAGCAGTGAGAACGAAAGCCAACCCGAAGTCATGGTGTCGGACTTCAGTTTCAGTCGGCGAAGACGCTGACTGAAACGGAGAAAAAGATTACTCCCGCCGGGACTCGAACCCGGAGCCTTCAGATAACCCGACCACATTATATAGGAATCTGACATCATAGCCATTAGACGACGAGAGCGATACTTCACACGTCATTATACAATATAGAGCTAGATAACAATGCAGCACTTTCACACCGTCCGGATCGGTGGCTCGACTTGTTTCGTCTGACATGATACCACTTTCGCAATACCTAGTACCGCATACACAGGAGGTGTATTATATCCCAGATTTTGTGTCCGTCGATGAGGAAGATGTGCTGATACGGAAGGTTATCGATTCGCTCAGACAGTTTCATTGAGACTCAATGTCTGTAGATTCAAGCTTCGCCTTTGCCGAAATGGAGGCATCTCGCCAATCGCAGGTGGGTTTTCTCTCAGATTGTCACTGTGCAGCAGATTAGTACTCAAGACAAGCTGGATCTTCTGCGCAGGCTGCAGATATGGGGTTAGACCGATCTGTCCTGCCCGATTCTATTAAATGCAGAGAATAATCATTACGATCGCATGGAAAGGTGGTAACATGACTGCAAAGAAAGTTTTGCTACCGGAAGCGATGCCGGACTTTGTGACCATGTTGTCGGTGCCGTCCACCCGTTCTTGTATTCGAGCCTGATTATTTGTCCATGTAGCCCAGACATCGTTGGCCGTATTGCGGCCACAGGCGCATTTTCAGAGTCCTCGCATCGGAGGCCGAACCATATCATCGTGAACGAAGTATGTCTCGGGTCTGCTGATCGCCTTGTATTTTTTGGTCTGACAGATTATCAGTACCTCCCAGGGCAGGGCATCATGGTACGGTTGTACCCTTCTCACGAACTTAATCGTGTGCCGATAGATTGCTAGCCGCACGAAGACGGTCCCGCCTACCATCCTGTCGTCACCACTCTCTCATTGGGTTCGCACGCAGTGTTTCACTATTACCGATACAAGCCTTCTGCCACTGCCGCAAGCGAAGAGGAAGCTGAAGGCGAGTCTGGGAAGGTCATCGACCCGGAGCCGGTGCTGTCAGTATTATTGGAACCTCGCAGCCTGGTGATCACAACGTCCTCGCTATATCAGACGCATCTGCACGGGATCGAATATGTCGCAGAAGACGCCTTTCACCGGACCGATGGGCACACATGCATTGCGAATGTGGACTTGATCGCCGACGGTGCGGCGAAGTCAACAATTTTGAGGGGAGGAAAATTGACAAGAAGGACGAGGTATAGTCTCACATGCCGTGATGTAGAGAAGGTGGCTGGCGGTCTGCCGTTCGGTAAACGCTGGTACTGAATTGGTATCGCAGCATGATGTTTTCGTCGAAATCTAGGCATTGTCCAGGCCATCCATAGTGTAGGTACCGGACATAGCAACTTGTTTGACAGCCAAGCGTGAAACGCCGAACGTCGTTCATTCCAAGTTTTGACACAAGACTAGCTGCATTGTGCTGTATGGGTATGATTGTCGTCTGAAGGCCGTTAATGGTCATGGAAGAGCGTCCCTGAAGAAACACATCACGGAACAATCGCTGCATAAACTTACGCCGTGTTTCATGTTGCGCCTCGGGCGACAGTACAAAGGATACTCCGATATCACGAGCGTTCTTTAGCTCGCTTACGGTCGCAGACCTTTATCATCTGAGCCGATCCCCGTGGGCACCCAAGGATATCCATTGTAAATGGGCGTACATTGTTTGGTAGCTGATCTTTACTGATTGCGGCGAGAGCCGTCGCTCATAGTCAAGTTTGCTTTTACTGTCTCATGATTGGACCGACACACTCTCGTACACAGCCGGACCTCACAAAGTACCCTCGATTTCATGGCATGAAGCAAACTCCGACTAAGGCACATCAAAGTGCATTCGATGCACTACATCACCCCCAGACTAGTCTTCAACTCCGACTCTAGATCGTTCATACTAGCACTACCGACGGGCGCACTGTCATGGTTCTCGGCCTCCGTTGTACATCGCCTGCACTGACAGACGCCGAAACCCCACTCCATAATTTCTCGGCGGCGTTGTTCTAGAGGTAGTCCTGGATTGACGTAAGTAATGCATAGCTCCTCCCCGGGCTCAATGTCTTTTTTAGCGATTAAAGATACACGTGCAAGCGCGGTGCGCTGCTCCAGATGCCGGACAGAGATACTGGGATCGCAGGAATGGTTCAAGTGCGAGTGAAACACGTATAGGCCACCATGAGCTTCCAAATCTACACATGGGGCATGAACAATTTGTAGAGCTCGCGATCGAGTTGAACGAATTACGTACTGAGACTCATGCACCCGAGTCCGAGAAGGAAGGCGTCATAATTGAATAGCTCGCCGACAACCTCTGCCGGTAGGGCCTTCTTCAACAGTCGTGCTAGCTTCTTTTGTTCTGGTACGGTGGGCGGATTCTGAAACCCTTGAACGTAAAGTTGGAATGCCTTCTTCCATGTCTCCCTGTCCGGTTCTGCTCCTTTCATCCTGAACACAAAAAATGCGTTACCCAACTGCTCTAGAACCGCCGTCTAAAAATACCAACCATTCTCCTTTCGCCCGATCTTCCATACCAAGTTTCGCAAGAGACTGGATAAACTTCCAGTCCTCTCGCCAGGCCGACTCATCCTGCTGATATGTCAACAGAATGCGTGCAGTGCATTGCGCAAGTGCATGCAGGGCCATCCAGCCGATCTTCCGGGCAAATGTGAGCAATTGTATCGATGCAGGGTTCTGCGAGGGACACAGAAGAGGGTGGGTCCGTGCTGAGCGTGTAAGACATAAGCGGTTGCAGAACCTCGCTGTACACGGTGACCGTGAAGTAGAGGCAGGACATGATATAATCAGAGATGACTCTTTGAGCGGCGTGCTGCAGTGTGCGCAAGCAAGCGAGGCTGCCTGCAGGTCGTAGACATCCCTGTTAATATCAAGTTGTTAGAAGGTTGCATCAATACACCATGAAAATATATGGATCCTACCATTCGGGAGCCAAAATGAAAGGATCCTCCTTCCACACGGTTTCGCCCTCTTTGATGCGCTCTTTCGCCACCAGTCCTTTACCCTTGTTTCTACTGAAATACTTCACCTCCACCTTTAATGTCCATTTGGATATGTCCAATCCTTCGATCACCGTAGACGACGGAAGATCATGGCCAGGACCAGAACCGTCCTTTTGAGATGCTCCTGACTTCTGATTTTGAACGAGCGTGAGGCCTTCGTTCTGGAGAATTCGTCGCGTTCTCTTCTCCCCGACAGTCCAAGTCGGGTTGCGGGACAGCAGCAGTGTATGAAGTTTGGCGATGCCCAAGCTGGGATTCTCTGCTCGGAGAGCGATGAGAGCTTGTTTCAGCTCATCCTCAGACGGCAACACCGCGGTCATGGTGACAACGACCGTGGGCTTTCTTACCGATCAACGAGATCAGCTCACAAGATTTAAGCGGAACGGAAATTGATCGGCGACAAAGCCTGTGGCTGAAGCTTAAGTTAAGTGGAAGGGTTGTTTCATGACTCTAGTCCGGAGAATGTCCGTTTTATTATTCCGTCTCTAAGCTCAACGTGGCGTCCCAGGATTTTATTGACATATTTTTAGTTCAGCGAGGCGGCAGAATATCGGTCAATATGGCCGAACGTAGGTATCTGATCAAGGCTGCGCCGCCATGGCATGGCAGCTCGAGTGAGTTTAATCGATACGTCTGACTCCATCATCGCAATGTCTACTAAATTGCATCACACTGGGACGACCTCAAAGTCTTAGCTCACTGTCTGATTTTATTGTGAAACCGCATCAATAATATTGCATTAAAGGAGCGAACGGTATGCAGAGGCACGCTAGACATATCAGAAATGTGAGGCACCTCGTAAGGTCTCTCATTGCTGTAATGGCAAGAGCGGCCGAAATTAATGCCTCGAGCACGAGCTCGATCTTCCCTTCATTAGCAACTCCCGGCTCGGTAGGGGCGACAATTGGTCGAGTCGGGAGTGAATAACAAGGGTGCGACGAGATTTGCCGTGCCTTCCGAAACTATGCGAAATGCTATAAAATTCGACCATTTCACGGGGAGCAAGGGAGCATTACCGGAGAAAGATGCGCTTCGGGAATGCCTTCCCAAAGCTCTGTCAACAGAATTCAAGGACAGCGACGGGCATTCAAACGTGGACAAAGACGAAAACAGAACAAGCATCGAACTCAGCGGCCGGGGATTTGCGACGGGCGCTTCACGTGACTATCATATTCACGGTTCTTCAGGGCAAGCTCATCGGGACGCGACGCGTTTTTGACGCGCCCAGACGTGAACACGTGGTCGCATCATCTGTACGTACAGTTCCTTCGGGGTTTACGTCCTGCTCTGGTTCAACACCACGACGACGACCATGTCGACAGACGAGCCATCAACCTCTCTCAGACGCAGGCGCCCAAGCCTGCCGGATGCGCCATCGGCCACGACCACTCATGACTCGGACACGCGCAAGACGGAAGAAGTCGTGTGGGGTAAAACACCTGGAGGCGAAGGTACGCTGGCAGCAAGTCATGACCTGGTCAAAAGCATATCTGACTATATTAGCGTGCAGTCTTTCGTGTACCAACTACACATGACGTCCTGACGGCCTTATTCCACCCTTCATATCCGAAATCTCATCTAGACATGCTGAATCTAGGATTGCTCGGGCTCCAAATTGTGCTATTTTTGGCTCTTCCACGTCAAGTTGCTAGAGTTTTCTTTCTGATTTATTTTGCATTCTGGCGTGCCGCATACGATCTGGGACTTGGATGGGTGCTCACGAAACAGAGCAAAAGGAAATGGATGGTGCGAGAAGTTCAGCGGCTTGGATGGCTTGACGAAACACGATGCCCAAGAATACGTAGCTGGATCAAGCAACAGCTGGTGGGGAAAATGGGCAAGGATTATTCATTCGATGTGCGTTTCGTGTGCGGCAAACGACTGCCACCGCCGCTCATAGTTGCCATACAGAAACTTCCTTTGGAGTACAATACGTGGCTGCTTTTCCGGCAATTGGTGGATATAATTCTGCTCAAGTTCGTTTTGAAAGCGTCACTGCCGTTGGCTCTCAGTCAGCTAATTGCTGCATAAATTAGTGATTTTCTTGCATACTGCATGTTCGCTTTCACGTGTTTTCGTGTACCCGAAGATCTCTCGACTGCGGTACATGTTCTGAGGTAAATAATCTATCTTGATCCTGGTTCGCGTCTTTGACGGATGTTGTTGGCGAATCGCACCAGATGGATAGGAGGCATTGCCCTGATTGCATTCAACCTCTGGGTCAAGACAGAAGCACACAATGTCGTCAAAGACTATGGTTGGTACTGGGGCGATGTATTCTTCCAGCGAGGTGCACTCGTCTTTGACGGTGTGTTCGAGCTGGCCCCGCACCCTATGTACTCCGTTGGTATGTATACCTTCTCTCTCCACCTCAAGGGCCATACTAATGCACTCACAGGGTACGCCGGATACTACGGCCTGTCCCTCATTATCGGCAGCTATCTGCTACTTTTCGTTAGTCTTGCCGCTCACGCGGCTCAGTTTGGCTTCCTCGTCTTCTTCGAGAACCCTCGTGAGCGTCCCAACTTCCAAGGCGTGTTTCGTGGCATGCTGTCTCACCGTTCCTTCGCAGACATTGAGCGAACCTACGGTCAGCGCAAGCCTCTCGCTATGAGATCGCCTCTGGTTTTGGCCGTTACCGTCAAATCCCACCAGACCTCAGAGTACCAATCTCGACAACGTTCAAGTTCATCTGTCTCTTCGGTGCTAGAATCCGCTACGCCTTCTGTGACTGATGGAGAAAGTGCGACCGACACGGATGACATTCTGACCGAGACTGAGACGGAGATGGAGTTCGAGGCCAGTGCCTCGGGACCGAAGAACAAGCACCGTTCATTACCTTCAATTGTTTCAGCATCTAGTGACAATGGGTGTGCTGTTCTGAGACGCAGCGATTCCCCGCGCCTGTCGCAACATGATTTGATGAACCGCTATTTCAGGAAGGACACGATTTTCTTGCACAACGTTGATCTATTACGGTAGGTATTTCAATTACCTGCTGATCAGCAGTGACGCCTCATACATGCGACTTCCCAGCTCTTCGGACTTCCAGTTGCTCTTGATAATCTTGTACCCTCTAGTCGCTTCTTTTCTTCCCCCGCTCTCACATCGCAGTGCACTCGTGCTGCACTTCGTTCATGCTCTGGCCTGGTGTCTGTTCCATTCCTTCGGCCTGGGCCTTCTGTTGCGCGCCCAGTCGCAGAGGAAATTCCTTGTGCGGCATTTTCTTAAGCACTACCACTATCCGCAGCGTGACCGCGCCAAGGGCGCCGTGCTTGAAGCGTTCTCCAACTGGAAGGTGATGTACAACTTAAGCATGTGTATGACTTACGGTGTGTGCCTTCAGGCTCAGCGTAATGGCAGTTTCGCTCACAGTTCGTTACGCAGTCTCTTCCGTTGGTCTCGTTTGGAAAACGTACACAATACCTCAGGATTGGACGGTCGGAAACGAGCTCCTGCGGCACACCCTCGGCGCAGTGAGCCGTAAAGTTCTTTAGACCCTGTCATCGCGACTCACGTTCCATTCCCCTAGATTCTCATCGGACTCCATATTTGGGCCTCGATGGAGTCATACGAGGTCCTGGGATTGTTCGGTACTCGCACCCTATCCTATCACCGGCGACAGAAGACCCTGACTTTTCCCATAGGTTGGTTCTTCGGAGACTTCTTCATGGAGGAATTCCCTGCACATGTTGAGTATACTGGCATCTACCGGTTCGTCAATCTTCCTCCGCCGATAAACTAAGCTACAGTGATGAGGTTGAACGCCAGTTATCTCAACAATCCCGAGGTTATGAGTGGAGCGGCGTTCTTCGGGCTCACGCTGATCAGCGGTAGCAAACTAGTATTTGCTCTCGCTGTGATCCGGCTTCTATCTCAGTGGTGGTTCTTGAGCAAGGTCGAAAAGTGCGCATCCAGATAGCTGATACGGCGCGAATAATGACTAAGCTTCTGTCGCACAGCCCTCACATGCGAAAGTTGTACGGCGATTCGCTGCGGAACGATGCAGGGTTTGTCAAGGTTATCAAGAAGGTTGCCAATAAGAACGCACGTCTGCTCGAGTCGCGCGCGGGCCGGCATGCCCCGGAGATCAAGAGAGTCGCAAAAGAAATGAAGGGAACATTTGACAAGGTTTGTGAAGAGACCGCAGACGTCGTGGAAGAGTTCCTCGCCAAATGTCAGAAACTGGACCGTCTCTTCTCTCTTCTCTTTACTGACACCAGTTTTGGCTCTTCCAGCCCGGCCGAAGATCTCGGGCGTCATGCAGGATACCAAGGTTCTTCTCCAACAATCGAGGGAGAAGCTGGTCATTTCGTATGTAATGATGGTGGGTACGTTCGATCTATGCTAATGAGACCATGACATCCGTGGCAGCCGCGTTGCCAGCGACTTGTCATTGTACGACACCGCCAAGTACAAGGTCTCCATCGTTCCCAGCCCTTGCACAAACGGTACCTTGCATTTTCACTTGGGAGAGCCCATCAAGGTACGATGGCAAGCGCCGCTGCATCATTCACGGCGCGATTGGATCGGCATCTACAGGGTCAGTTTCTGGAGTTTTTACCAATCGGCGAGGCTACACATTAGGGATTTTTCAGGTCGGCGCCAACAAGTCAAGCTTGGTGACCAAGACATCCTCATTGGGCATGTGGGTTCCTGTGCACGACGAGGAGTGGGACGGTGATATCCCACTGGATCTCAATAGAGCCAACCGACCGGATAGTGACTCCGAAGGCGGTGAAGTGGTATTCCAACAAGGCAGGCTGCCTTGGCAGACGGGTCGCTACGAGGTGAATCTTCCTCGAGGATTCCTAGACTAGCCAGCCGTGCTGACATCAGACCCCCATTTGTTTCAAGATCCGATATCATCATGACGGCAAGTACAATGTCATGAGCCTGGATGGTCCGTTCGAGGTGTACGGTGCGTCTGTCCCTTCCGTGCCACCGTTAAATGCTTCGATGCTTAACTCCGCCGCCTGGGAGGACAGTTGACAAACCAAACACAATGGATGTCGAAGCCGTTCGGAAGTGTCTCATGCATATTGTCCCGCTCTGTCTGGATTCGGACCCATCTTTGATCCCCCTCTCGTGCAAGTCGGAGGAGGAGCGTGCGGCTGTCGACACCCAAGATGGGGCTCGGGACCCGGATGATTTCCGGTTCTGGTCAGAGAGGCAGGCGAAACGCATCTCAATAGTCATCAAGCAGGCCTTCGACGTAGAACTCACGCCAGAAGTCATCGTAGCCGATGCCAACCTGACAGCCCTCGCAAACAGGATTTCAGTTGCAGCTGAGCTTATCTCAGCTTAGAGAATGCAAACCCAAAAAGCGCGTCCATGGTGTCTCAAGTCTAATCAGGCTCATACCACTTGTTGCTCGCCGTTGTGACGTGCCATTTATATACCTTTTTGGGTGTGACTCTTTGTGGATCCATAGTGTCAGTGATTAGAACCGCTTTATTCGGATCGCATTTGACTTGATCTGTATCAACCTTTCGCGAGGTCTCCAAAATTGTCTCAGAAGCATTCAACTCCTTAAATGCATTGAGAGGCATTGATCGCGATGCCGGGCATTGTCGTGTGCGCTTGTACCGAAGTTGCAAATATCATCCAAAATATAAATTATCATGATTACTGACCCGTCTTCATCGTTGCCTGAAACAACATGCATGTTCGGAAGGCTCCCTATTAATAAGATGGGAGGAAATTGAAAAAACCCTTTTACGACATGTTCTCTTGCCACTGCATCTCTTCTTCCGACATCCTTGCATCTTCGTTATGAATCCAAACCTCAACAGGAGATTCCCGCCCGCTGTTTTCAGAATCAGAATCCGTGGCCATGAGCCTTTTATGAAGCACTTCCGGCACGTCCGATAGTATAATCCAAAGGCTCGGATACCGCGCCACGGTGACCAACGTGAGAACCATGGAGAAATTGCAACAACTCTATTAGAATTTAGCTTCATGCGAGTTCCGGACTTACATGCCTCTGATGAACAAGCAGGCACAGACAAGCAGCGCGCTCGTGATGATTACGGAGGCAGCATTGAAATCCACCGTACAAAGCCTCGCATAAAGTTGGCCGCAGGCTCACCTTTTCATGCGTTCGCCGTTGTCTTTGACAATAGTCGTTATCAATGGTCTACAGAACTTGAAATGAGTCGGCGCTTCATGATGGGCGGCTGATACAACATGTCACGAGGTGTTACGGCGGTTGTGGTGAGTCACAGCAGGTCACAACAGCGAAGTTCTCCCAACGTTCTGCTCGTTTGACCATCCCCACGACCGTCCAGAATCTCCTCTTCTTGATCTATCTGCCGTGTTTGCAAAAACGTTGTGTACGGTGAACTTGGTACGTTCTATCACCGCGAAATGCCCCAGATTCTTTTGTTTGAAGCTGATTACGTCGGCATCAGTATTCTCGCTTCGCTTACAATCCACCATGAACAAGACGCAGTTTTACTTGTCCCAGTGTGCCGAGGCGGCTTCGAAGAGCCCTATGTGCTTCACCCTTGGAGCAGTCATGGTCAAAGGCGGGAAAGTCATCTCGTCGGGGTACAACCATCACCGACCGCACTATGACGGCTCTGAGGTTCGGACGCAAGGGCATCGCAAGGTCCGTCCACTATTATCAGACGTCAGCGCAACTCTAACTGAGCGATTTTCCTATTAGCCTGTCTCGATGCATGCGGAGATGCACGCGATCTTCAACTTGACGGGCATGTCTCCATCGTTTAAGAAGCAGGTTCAAGGGATGGAACGGCGGGTTCCACAGGCTACAAGAGGGCCGCAACCAGAACATCGAACAAAAGGTCAACAGGTTGGCAAAGGGGTCGACGGCCCCGAGTGGTGGCTTTCACGACCTTGTGGAGCATCAGCGTCAGCATAACCGCTCGCGCAGGGGCAAAGGCAAGGGAAAGGGTCGCCCCGAGAGCGCCGCCCTCAGTCCGGGGCGCAGCGGCGGCGGTAGTAGTGGCGAGAGTAGCGAGAGCGAGCGCTCCAAGGCATGCTTTCACGAGCACGGTGCGCGCGGTAGGGAAGCGGACAAGGGATGGGATGCCAGGAGGCGGGACCCGCGAGTGAATGGTGCGGATATATACGTGGCTCGCTTCACGAAGAACGGGATGGGCAGTGCGAATCCTTGCTGGCGTTGCCTGGAGTGGTGCAGGTGGGCGGGGGTAAAGCGGATATTTCATTGGAACGACAAGGAAGGCAGGTTTGACGTGATAAAGGTGAACAGTGCGCAGGGTAGTGTTATATATGAGACACATGCCGATTTTCGTCTCTCCGGTGGTCTGGTGCGTCATCAATTTGTTGTGCCTTTATGTTGCTTACACCCGTCCGTTTTGCAGGGATGGTGACAATTGGATTGCTCTTCCCTCCCTTTACCACATGCTGTCAATTATGCTGTCTCATTCATGCACAATCTGTCAAGCCTTCATCGTGTCTCGTCTGCAAGGTAGCATTCTGGCTTCTCCGAAGTACTCCGCGTCTGCGTTTATTGGGTGACAGAGTCACTGATGCGGGGGAAAGTGACTCATCATATGCTAATTCACGACGAAGGCATCAACTCAGTCACAAGACTGCATACCGTTTCTTGGTTTTACTAGATGTCTCACGTCTTGATTAACGGGTCAATCGCTTCTAGGCGTAAAATCGCGTAACGTATGTAACATTTGTGGTTTTTTGTTCCGCTTAGCATTGCTCATGTCCTTCAGTGCAGGAGAATGTGACAACCCTCTTCTCATTGCATAACGTGCCACTGCGTATATGGCGTTCAATGGCCACCCAGTGCCACCGCGACATATCGCCATCATGACTGTATTCAGCTACAACAACAAATAGTTATCTCGCACCGGACTCCATAGGCTGAGATACCGATGCGGAAAAGAACAGATCGATGTGCGACAGTTGGCACCGGCGGGCCACCATGGGACTCCGCTACGAGTCTTTCGAATGACTTTTTGTTTTATACCCTACCACTGAGCAAATGCATGCTCATGCTGTTTGCCGTCCACGGCTGTGCAAAAAAACATGCCGGTTGTTAAAGGTACGTGCAGTCACGTGGTTGTCTTCCAGCACATTCTCGCCAGTTCGAGAGACAATATTCCGTCCCATTTGGGACGCGTATGCTTATGGATGTGCGAGAACATACGCGTATGTTCTTGCTTGGTAAGGAAGGTGCGCGATCCTACTCAGAGGTGTGCGCGGCCTGTGGGACGCGTCGCCTTTCGCTGACGAATCGCGCCTCACGGCGGGGTATATAAGGGTCGGTGGTCAATGGCCGACTATCACTGTCTTAGTGCCTTACACAACCGCCATCTTTTTCTCATCGCATATCTCCGTCTCATACATCATGCTCGTTTTGACCCCAGTGTCCGCCCTTCATTGCGGCTATCCTTCTCATGGCCGATACGCTCCTCAATATGACTATTACAATGCGCTCGTCGGTCAAGCTGAGCACGACGTTGCCGTCGCGCATGCCAGGGCTGAGGTGGTGCGCAGGCGTCAGCAGCAGGAGCAACAGCGCCGCCGACAGATGGAGGAGAATCTCCGCCAGCACGCAGCGTTAGAAGCGCTTTACAAGTACGAGCTGGCTCAGGAACGCGAGCGAAGGGCCGCTCTTGCACGGAAGCAACAGCCGCAAGAACTGGCTCGTGCTTATGCCGAGGCTCGCCAGCGGGCCGCCGCCGAGCGCGAGCGCATTCGTCTGGAGAGGCTCCGCGCGCGCCGAACCAGGGAGGAGCAGTTCTGCACTGCAATCATTGCGATCGAGCAGCCAGCTGCTCCTACAAGCCATAGCCGTGCCGCTCAGCCCTCAACTTTGGAGGCAACGGTATGTGCTTTGATTTATGTTGTCGCTCTTCTCGTTCTGAGTAATTATCAATCACAGCCTTTTACATCTACATGCGCGCGACATCTTCCTACTCGGACACAAGTACGGCCTTCCACGTCGGCGATATCGCCTGCTGCGGTGCAGGAGCGGTTGCGCGAACGACTCGATCACGAGTCCGATCCCCAAGTCCGCCATACACTTGAACACCTTTTGTCGCGTGTGGTGTCACCGCCACCGACGCTCAACACAGTCGACGTGAAGGGTAAGGGTAAGGAGAAGGAGGTCACTTCGCCTGCTCAGGCCCACCCTTCTCCTCCCTTCGCCTCTTCTCCCATTCCGGAGCCGGTCGAGTCTTCTACCCCTGCTCCTGCTGGACATACTCTGCAGGACATGCTCCGGCAACGACTAGAGCAGGAAGTTGACCCAGAGGTAATCGAAGCTCTGAGCAATCTATATTTGCGGCTCTACGGCTGGCAGATCAATCGTGACCAGGGAGCTACTTCCTCCACCAATATCGACCCAAAGGGCAAGGGCAAGGAGAAGACCATAGACGTTGACGCTCCCTCTCAATCCGCACCAGCGGAGTTCGCCGTCAATGAATCCGCATCGACGGCATTTGAGAACCTAAGTGGCACCAACCTCAAGCGCAAGCGCGAACTCTCCCCCGACGTCGCAGCCAAGCTGCTCTCCGTCTACCGCTCTTACCGCTCACGCAAGTCGTCGCTCGGCGCGATCAAGGACATCGAAGAGACTCTGCGCACGCTTGAGGCCACGTTCGTCTTCCCCACGCGCCTCGATTTTGCTGCGGAGAACGGACTGATGTATACTGCGAACAACTCGGCGCTGCACGCGTATGAGCATGAGCTGAACGGCCTGCTCGCGCGCCTGGATGCGGTTGACAGCCGTGGCGACACGGAGGTGCGCGGCCGCCGGAAGGAGGTCGTGCTCCAGGTCGAACGCGCGCTGGAGGAAATTGAGAGGAGGGTCGAGCAGAGCCGCGAGCGCGAGGGAGAGGACGAGGATGCGGCTCCGTCTCAGACGGAGGAGCCTGCGGCTTCTGAACCAGAATCTAAGCCTGGAGAGGAAACGTCTGAAGTGACTCCGGAAGTGTTGCCCGTTGTTCTTGGTGAAGCCGTCGCCCTGGTTTCTGTCACTGAAGAGTCCGTTCAAGTCGCGGCTGCGACCACCACCCAAGAGGTACCTTCTGCGCCGGAGATCATACCTGAAGAGGAGACGTGTTCGCAGGCCGAGACGCGTCCGGAGGTATCATCCACTGTCCTTGATGATTACGTTGCTTCGCCTTCTATCACTGAAGTTCCGGCTGAACCTACCGCTACTGTGATCATCCTTGACCCTCCCGCTGAAGGCGTCACTCCGCCGGCGTCCACAGATTCCCAGCGCGCCACGGAAGCCACAGATGTCCTCGCCACTACGCCCGTACTGTCTCCATCTACAGACGACCATGTCGCCGGCTCCGATCAGCTCGCAGCACCACAAGCCGCCCACATAGAAGTGGGATCTTCTGCTGATGCAGATGCAGATGCGCAAATTTCTGCGCAGCCTGTCATAGATTCCGGAGCGGCGCAAGATCCGGAGAAGTTGTCTGTATCTGTCGTGGCTGCCACTGCTTCTCCGTCTTCCCTTCCGTCAGCGACCACAGAAGCCAGCACACCTGTGAGCGAGCCGCCCGCGGACCTCGCTGCAAGCTCAGAGACGGACATGCGGACGGATATCGATTCGGGCACAGATACAGATACAGGGTCCGTGTCGTCGGACGATGCTTACCTGCTTGAGTCGTCGCCACTTGAGGACCGGCCGCGACAGCCGCGGAAAGCGGCTGTCTCGGAGGAGATGGAGTTTGTCGAGCATGATGAAGTGGAGGGGTCCGACTGGTCCGAGGTGGAGGCCGCGTAGGTGGCAGGCTGAGCGATTGGGACGTGGTGTGGGACTCGCTAGGACTCGGACTGGGCTTGTACTGTTACCATTGCTGTCGTTGTATTCTACCGTTGTCTCTGGCTAATTCATTTCGCTGCTTGCATGAAACACAGAGTCGTTGTGTGAGACGTGGAGTTGTTGTTCGCTGAGACGTGCAGCGTGAACGTGTGCGTTGTGTGTAATAAATCAGATCGCCTTGTTCTTCGCTGGCGCCATTATACAGCACCCTGACTCAACTGTCGTGATGCCTCGAGGTCCGTGTATCACAAATTGCCTGGGAGACCGGCACGCGTCCCCAGCACAATGCCCTGGCTGAATCAATAGAAGCCAGGCCAGACGTATTGACGTACATATGTGGCACACAGGTCACGCTTATAAGCCCAAGTCATCTTCCTCCTACTTCTCATCCACTTCCCTCAACACCTCTGCACTGCAGGCACCCCGCCTGCGTCTCAAGGTTACTTTTTTGCGAGAAAAAGCAGCCTTGAGACACATACGGGGTGCCTCCCATGTGGCACGAACGCATTGTGGGCGTATATGTATGACGACTTTGCTCGGACTTTGCGGAGAGGATGCGATGACAGCTTGGCCCCCTACGGACCCACAGCAGCTTGTTATGGATGCTGCTTCTCGTGGCGGTTGCATTGTCGTTGTGTCGGCTCTGCCGTGCAGTTGTATTTCTGAGCCCTGCAGGAGTCGGCGCATCTCTCACTAGCTCTTGGTCTATGTCCAGCAGCGCCCGTTTTGAGAGTAGCCGACACTCATGGGGAACAATCTTAAAGCAAGGAGGGCGATGCTGAAACGACTTCGTTAGGGTAGGCTTCACTCAGTGGCCGCCGGCGGTCGCCACAGTCGACTGTCGAACGCGCCACTTGTCCATGTATTCTGTCCGAGAGGGAATAATCCATGTATAATTGTGCTTAGTGTACATCAGGAAAACATGCGGAGTTCAGTCCTTTTCACCAATCGACACAAAGCAGCCAGCTACTGCCAGCATAGCACCACATGAGGTCCGAGTTAACACAGCTAGTCGGCCTTCTTGTCCGAGGCGCTGCCGTTTGCCTGGTTGAACTCGGTCGCGAGCCTGTCGTACTCCTTCGCGTTTTGCTCGGCTTGCTTCTTCACAATGTCTGTGAGGACGCAAAACGCAATACGGTGAGTCAACAGGTGGAGAGGTGGATGGAAGACAGGAAGGGGCACACACCAAAATCCTTGACCTTATCCTCTGCCTCTGCGAGCTTCTTCTTAAGGTCCTCGATCTGCTTTGCCTGATCTTGCGAGGCAATCTGTCCGCGCGAGCTTTTGGCAACCTTTCAAAGCTATGAGCGCTGCTGGCTAGCATTTGTCGTCGATGAACACGCACCTCTTGCTTGAGCTTCGCATATTCTTCCTGGGTTTGAACGAGGTCGAGCAAGATGTAGAAGGTCCGCGTGAGGACGAGCGAGAGGAACAGAGTGGATCCAGTCAGATATGTGTTACGTTGTGCGCTGCATAAGCCCGCAATGTTAGCGCCACAGACACAGATAATATAATAGGAGAGTGGGCCCACTAGAATTTACGGGCAGCAAAGTTGGTCTCTGATCGGATATCCTGCACTCCCCCGCTGGTCTTCGCCAGGTCTGCTTCCGCTGTGACGCGCAACATCCGTTGAACAGCGTCTACAAACAATATCCCAACAAAGCTGACGTGTAATGAGCAGTCATGTCAAGTCCTTACTGGAGAGGGGCTCGGCGCAGACGTACATGAACGCAATCTTGATCCCATACGCAACTTTCGCGACGGCAGGGCTTTCGGAAAGGAAACGAAAAAGACGCTTCCGGAAGGCGTACGGCAGAGGAAGAACGATAACTACGAAGGTCGCAACCTCCGCAACGAGGAGCGCGAATGTCATTGAGTAGCTGTATGCGCGCGTTAGTTTGCAGCGTATTACAACTGCATAGAAAACGTACTAGATCGTCATGGTGAAATGCGCTGGAGTTCAGAGATGAAGGTAACAAGCGGTGCTGGGTGTAAGACACGTGTATATCCTCGACCCCCCAGCTCAGCCACTCCGCCCGTCCCGAAAAGGCAGAGGACGCGCGCTAACGAAGCAGTGGCGCAACATCAATTCATACTTCGCCATGACTCCAACGCCTGAAGAGTTGCTATATATTCTCCACTTATATTCTGGCTCTAATAACCAGTCGCCCTATGAAGCTTCCGTCTCCCAACTCCGTCGCGTTAGCCCAGAACCGAAATACAACGCCAGGAAACGCGAGCGACAGATTGCAAATGCCATTGCTGCTGTAGTAACGCGACGCGAGAAAGACTTATCAGCTGTCACTTGGACGGCGAGTGGTCACAATATCATTATCCACGTCGCGCAAAACAGCGCCGTGGACCCGAGTGTCGTGGACCATCTTAAGTTGATTTGGACAAAGTTGCAGGCGATCACCCGGTATGAACCTCAGACCTCCGATGAAGCCGTTCAGAAAGCTCCTGACGAGGCGTTGGATGCAGGCCCCATGGACTTGTGGAGGCAGATACTCTACCATGTCTACACTGCTTGTTTTCCCAAGCTGAAAGCTCGCCTCATGAAGCGCCGACGAGAAGCGCAGGAGTTCATCACTACCATGAACGAGGCGATAGCATCGGATACCCGGTTACCTGACTCGGACATTCCGTTGCGCGACAAAATCATTTTGCGCAGGCTGTTGGCTTGCGTGCAACGAATATACGAACTTATCGATTTGCCTGCGTCCGAGGCCGCGCCTAAGATGGTCGACGATCTTGCGCTCGTGCGACGTGACTGGGCACGAGCGACGGGGGAGAATGGAATTCTCATGATAAATTGGCAAGCTATTTTTGAGCAGCGGCAGCAAGGTAAGTACCGCGGCGACTGCTCTAGTGATAGCTAACGCTGACTACACTGCCAGAGAGAAATGTGACGTCAGATTCAAAAATATTCGACTTTCGACGCTTCATGGAGGAGGCCTACTCTCTCCACACCCATATTCACACTCTTTGCCGTGCTGCGACATCTCCTCGCAGAAAGGTTATGTTCCATGCAGAACTTGATGTGGTACTAGTGCAACCTTACGCTGCCCTTTCCCGTCCTTTTTCAATTTCGGAAGAAGACATCGGCTCTTTCATTGAAAGCCTAAGTGAATCCGAGATGTCGCATGAGGAAGAGGAGGAATCAAAGCCAGAGGAACAAGAAACACGTCCATTCATCTCGCGAGAGCGTCTCCTAGCCCAGTTAGGCGAGTCATACTCCGAAACATCGCAAGTCGTGGACCTCTCTCGCCAGACCCCTCACTGTGAATGCACCCTGCTTATGTATCACACGACATCCGCTGGTCTCCCACCCCATCCCTACATTGGCGTCTCCAAGCTGTCTTGTTATCCATGTGTTACCTCTTCTTTGAGGCATATCGTCAAGTCGTGCCAAAAGGAATACGGTGGGAGCTGAAGGGGACAGATGGAAAGCTCTTCCCTGGTTGGGTTAGGCCAAAAGGGTTGTCCCAAGAGGCGAACGAGAAAGTCGAACAGCTCATGGTGAAGAAGTTGACGGAAAGGCTCCGCTTGAGTCTCGCAGAAGCAAAGAAAGCTCGCACACTTTCCGATAGAGATCCAGGTCAGTGGATTGGATTTGAGCCTGCGCCACGGCTGATTATCTCAGCATGCAGCGTTTTTGAATGAAATCTAAGACTTAGAGTGGTGGGCTTATGTCCATTATCAGGTTTCTGCGTCCTCTGAGGTATGGGAAAGTCGTACAGCGATGGAGATTATCGCAATCGATTAGCATCTGAGCATTTTTGCCCGTCGCAACACGGTGACTTGAACCCCACAAGCTGTAGAATGTGTTCTTCACTGCGGATAATACGTCCGCTGGCCAGTTTGTTATGCCATTGTCTGGAGACACACATACAGAGCAGTGGTTCCGAGGTATTAAGGATATTCGACGGTGCAATATCGAGTTGAGTGCCAAGTGACAATGTCTTGTTGTGGAAAGACGCAATATACAACCGTTCGAACATTCAAATGAAGTTCACTGCTTCGCCCCATACTCTTCCCAGCCATATTTATTAAGCTTCTCCACTTTGGCCATCACCTCTCCTTCCATTTCTTTTTGATAGCTGTCCATAGCAGTAATTAGATGTGGGATCCCATTCCCTAACATGCGAACCGCCAGCAATCCAGCATTTGTTGCATTATTGATGGCAACCGTTGCAACAGGCACTCCCCTCTGCAAGTCGAATCACGCACGTAAGTGAGAATGCACGGAAGCGAGACCCAAGAGAGAATACGCACGGGCATCTGCACAATGCTATGCAGTGAATCAACGCCATCAAGCGAGCTGCCCTTAATCGGCACACCGATAACGGGAAGTGCAGTCATCGCCGCAACCATTCCCGGAAGGTGAGCCGCACCGCCAGCGCCAGCAATGATCGCCCTCAGTCCCCTCGATGCCGCCGACCGTGCATATTCCACCAGGCGGTCGGGTGTGCGGTGCGCAGAGACGATCGTCAATTCGTATGCCACGCTGAAACGGTCGAGGATATGTGCCGCGGCGAGCATTACCGGCAAATCCGAGTCGGAGCCCATGATAACGCCAACGAGCGGTCTACGGTGCGAATGACCCTTGTCCGGAGGCAGCGGCGAGTATATCTCGATCTCTTTCTCGTCGCTCGGTGACGGAAGCTGTTGAAGAAGGGGCCGCAGGCGTTCGTGGAGTTCAGCATCGCAGTCCGCGACGATGGTGATGTGTCCCATCTTGCGACCTTTTCGGCAGACTGTCTTACCATAGAGGTGGATACTTGCACCAGGTATGGAGAGTGCATATTCTGCTACCGTCTTGATCTCTTCCATGCTGTCTGATGCGCCCAAAAGGTTGAGCATTACCGCCGAAGGAACCTTAAGAGCCGTGGAACCAAGTGGCAGAGATAAAACCGCGCGCAGATGATTCTCGTATTGAGATGTCTCGCATGCCTCAATGGTATAGTGTCCTGAGTTATGTGGCCGTGGAGCAATCTCGTTCAGATATAACATGCCTGCAATAAAGACCTTAGCAGAATACGGATAGAGAGCGCCGCTGTAATCACCGTCTGCCATGAGGAACATCTCAACTCCAAATACACCAGATCCGTGCAACGTCTTGACTGCTGTTTCCGCTATAGAACGAGCGCGAGAAGCGACGGCAGGGTCGCTTGAGCGCAGAGGAGCAAACACAAGATGGCATATGTTGTCCTTGTGAACTGTCTCCACGGCTGGATAAGACACAACCTGGCCAGCTGCCGAGCGCACTACGATGACGGCGATCTCTTGGATGAATGGCACCCATTTTTCCGCATATAATGGCCGGTCACCGAGAGCGTGGATAGCGTCGTCGATCTGGGATACGTCGCGAACGACAAAGTTTCCCCTGCCATCGTATGCCAGCGTACGGCTCTTGAGCATCAATGGTAGCCCTAGTTTTTTCGCCGCCGAGCGAACGCACTCAACGGTAGAGTCAACTTGCATAAAGTCGGACACCGGACAACTATGTGCGGCCAGATGCTGCTTTTGAACGAACTTATCTTGGATTATTCGGATCGTGGACGGGCTGGGATGCACGCCAAGAGGAAGCGAAGGCTGCACATCATCCAGAACAGAGACATCGACGTGTTCGATCTCCACGGTAAGGACGTCCACCTTCAACGCCAGCTCGCGGATCTTGGCCGGGTCGGTGAAGGAGCCATTGACATGCATAATGCGAGGAGGCCTTTGAGCGACGATCTGCTTCGCAGGTGCATCTTCTCCGACATCAAGGATGACAACATCAACGTTGAGGCGAGACGCCGCTTCTGCAAGCATACGGCCAAGCTGGCCGCCTCCTGGAACGTGGGAGCATCAAGTTCAGTTTTAGGACGTTGTCGAAAGCTGAGGCACTAGAAGACTTGTCACTGTCAGAGATTCACTGGGAAAGCAGGATCACTCACTCTCACCTAAAATCCCGACCACCTTGTCCATTGCAATGAAGGATGATCGTAAGCGCCCGATGCTCAATTTCGAGTTTGCGGGCGCTTGGGCGCTGTCAAAGGAGGCCACCTTTGACCATTGCTGCCATTATGGTCGCTGCTGCAAAACCAGTTGTGCCTCGCAAGCGCAACAGGAAGCGGAAGCGACGTGCGGCTTCCTCATCATCGTCATCCTCAGACTCTTCATCGGATGAGCATTCCCGACCATCTTCTCCAGGGACTACAACTCGGATCGTTCAGCCACCGTCTCCAGCCCAGGCGTCCGAGAATTCTTCATCCGACTCACAATCTGAATCAGACTCCTCTGAAGACGATACGATACCCTCCCATGCAGAAAATGCTCAAAGAAGTCGCAGCCCGAAAGTAGCACCGACCAGAGGACGATCACCTTCGCCTCCAGTGGCCTCTGCCCCCATTCCATCCTTCCTATCAGCGTCTGCAAATCAGATGGAGAGCGAACAAATGCTGAAGGAACGCTTTCGCAAATTCTGGATGTCAACGATTGCCGACTCGTTTAAAGAAGATTTGGAGGAGATACGCAAGGTGAGTTGCTAGGAAGATGGCCATGACCGTGTTCATGCTAATACATTATTCTTTTCTGCCAACCAAAGGAGCCTAACTTGACAACACCTCGGCTTTCTCTGCTCATTGAGTCCCTGGCCTCCGGAGCAGACGTCTTCGCGTCCTCTCCACGAGGGATCGCGTCGGATATCAACGAGATGGATGTCGTGATGAATCACCCTACATCGTAATGACGAGCCAACAGACTCGCCCTTCCCGTCCATGTAAAGAAAATTCGCTAGTGTACGTAGTCGGAATTTTGCAAGTTAATTCACAACATAATACTGTTGATATATCCTCCAGTCGAAAACGCTCAGACGGAGCGCAGATTCGCAATCACCTGTCTCCTAGCCCACTCGCCGACTTTGCTCTTCTCTTCACCCGCAAGTGCACGCCATATCAGCAATCGCGGCGTGAGCTCGTTCCATGCCGTACAACTCCGGCCTTGACTCATCGTCGCCCGCCATAGCGTTTCAAGACATTCTCCCCATTCTTCGAGCGGATCGGATCCTATCTGCCCGAAAAGGCCATGCGCGGGATGCGGAGGCAGTCTCGTACTGCTTCTCGAAACATTGTCCCGTGTTCTAGATAGGGCTCCTAGATGTGATATGGTCAGGTCTTTCTCCAGGTCTCGTAGACGAAGGACACAGCGCGTTATCAATCGATCAATACTGGGGGTAGGCGGGCAAGGTATGAAGCTTAGCCGGAGCACAGCTGGAGCAGCGTGATAGAGAATGTACTTCGAGCAGTCTAAGGCGGAGATTGTCAATGGATTCTTCGGGCATTCCATAATGTACTAACCTGTAGTGTCCAGAACGTGGCAAAGGCATCTCGCCAAAATTTCACGATGTTCCTCACGAGCTGCATGGTCAGAAGGATCACTGCTTATCATCACGTTCTCCAGTATTTTGACCCATGCAATGCCTTCGTCGTGCTGGACTGCTGATACCTGCATCTCGACCCAAGGGAGCAGTGCGTGCTTTGACACCAGCCGTCTTGTGATAGACGTATGGCAGGTGATGTTGGCCAAGAACTAGAAGAAAGCTGATTAGTGGCGCATGAAATCGTCAAATACGGGATGTACTACCTCTAGAATACTGCGCCGCAACCCGCGATCTCCCTTCTCGCTCTGAAATAGACTTGCGAGCAGTTCCCACGTATGCCTTCGCTCTAGTATTCTCCACTCGCTCGACCCAGTCATGCCATCCGTTAAGAACCTGACAATCCACCACCGCTCCTTCTTCCACTGGTCCGACGAACTGTACAGCGTGCCCAGCAGCATTGGTACGTCGCTCACGTCAAGAAAGGGGCGCTGCAACAGGAAGCGCGAAGTGAGAGGATAGATGAAGTCGGCTGGATAGAATATGCCGCGGAATGCGTGAGCGAGCAAAAGGGTTGCGTATGCGGGGAGGCAGGGCGGCCTATCGTCTGTGGGACGTTGTAGAGCACCTTGAAGCAGGTTGAGAATGTGCATAACGTGTGGCTTCTCTTGCAAATCTGCACGCTGGGAACACCGTGCTGTTAATTGCGTTTCGAGGATCAACGAGCTGAAACGTACTTCAAGACATTTATACAGCAAAGCCAGCTGCGCCAGGGCAACTTCTCGTAGCGCGTCGTCTTTGGCTGCTAAGCAGCGAATTAAAACGCTCACAATGTTCGTCTTAAGCAGCTGTATCCAGCTTGGCGCCGACGTTGGCGGCCCCCATGACAACATTTGTGCGAAAAGCAATGTTGCGAAGACAGGATCATACAAGAGTACGTCTTCGCTCTGTCCCATAGTCGCCTTGCACCGCAATGTTCTCCATTCCGGAAACGCTAGGCAAGTCTTGAACATTCGGCTGGGATCCAGAGTCTGTAGCGCTTCTAATGGGCCATCGGAACCGACCTCGGGGACGACAGACCACCGGCCAAAAAGTGAAGCCACCGATACATGCCGGGTCGTTTCAAAGAGCTGGAATACCGAAAGAAGCTTCATGTCCGATGACGATAAAGTACCCGCGTAAAGTCGAAGCAAGGGCTCGATATGTGTAAGCTGACACGTGTTTGTCGGGTGAAGGTGAAAGAGCGCGTGAAGCAAGTCGACGATCGCGTCTCGTGCAGCTAGACGTTGCTCTGTCGTGGCGCAAAGCGTGAATAGTTGAGAATGTTGCATAATGCTCTGAATGCATCTGTTGACAACGAAGGGCTGCAAACACTTTGAGATTGATACAGACCTAAAATTCTCACAACTTACTTTTAGATACACAGCTTTCACCAATAATTGCATGAAATGCACGGCTCTGACGTCCGCAAGTCTATGTTTGACCACGATGATCAACACCGGGTCCACAAGATGGCTCTTAAGCGATGAGACAATCGGTAAAAGTAGAACTGGATAGCAAGATTAAAAATGCAGGAGTTACGTCAAAGGGTGACTTACTAAGTTCATCTTGAATAGCCGTCTGCTCCTCGGAAAGCTCATCTTCGACAGAGAGGTTGTTGGCAGCCCATGACAACGCTTGGTCCATAACTCGATCTATTATATGGAGGTCTTTGTCGTACGCGCCGAGTCGCCTGATCATCGCCAACGAGTTAGAAGATAATTCATCTGGCTTCAGCTTCTTGCATCTATCCCGCAAGGTCGACAGGAATGCAGGCCGTAACGGAGCGAGCTGGTCCGTCAATATGCATACGCATTGTGCACATGTAGAGTCTACGGGCGCTGACCGCTGGCAATTTTTGGCGGTCAAAACGGCCGTCAGCAGCCTTGTGAAATGTCGAGTCAGGTATTCATGGTCTTCTCCAGACAGGAAGTCAGCAGCGCAGCCACAGTCCAACAAAGCGTGTATGATTCGGGCTAAATATGCCACGTTGCACGTCTCGGAATGTTCGCTCTTCAGCCATTGGGTCATTGCAGCTCTTGCAGGCAAAGATCGGTAAAACAACCCGACCATCACATCAACTAGGGCACACGACCAGTGTTCGGTGTTCAGGAAGTCTTCCAAGTTGATGTCATCTAGATGGCCGGCCATGCGATACTTCCATTGCTTCTGCGATTTGGCAACGACAGTGGGAAAGTCAGGTTCACAGACCATAGGACCTTGCGAGCCGTCGGCGAATAGCGGCAGGACTCCCTTCATAGCAGTGGCAAGCAAGGATTCCAACGCCGGAGAAGCAGGATATGACAATCGCAGTCTGAATAGTTTCGGCAGATGAGAAGAGAGAATTTGTGGCCTTGAGGATACAGCATAGGCGATAGCAGAAAACAGCTCCTCCAGTATAGCGCTTGAAGCGCCATCCGCGACGACATCCAGCAGCATAAGTTGGTCATTGGCGTCCATGTACTTGATCCACAACTTTGCCGTAGCTTCCTGTATCCAGTTTAGCGCGAGATCTTGGATGCAGTATTTATACGTACGTCATCACTGTCCATCTTACCGACGCTTTCTTTGATGAAAAGAGCCCAGTGCGAAGTGTAGTCCCTAACCATAACCTGGTCACTCTCCAACGAAGGGTTGACTGTTGACTGCAAGAGATACGCGAGTCCTATAAGAAGACAGTCAGATTTCAGAACAGAAGAGCACAATGTAGGCGTACCATTTCGTTCCGTTTCTCGAACGCGTCTCAGACTCAGCCGCCTCACCGCACTGCCATGCCAGATATGCTCTACAAAGTCTCCAAGTTCAACTTCTGACAACCTCTTCTGGGCCTCCCTCGCGATCGCTGCAAAGAGTATCAGCAAGTCTGCCGTAGCAGCATCATCCACTTCGACCCATGACAGTCTGTGATCCATCAGAGAGGAGGTCCTTCTCATTGCTGCAAGTGACGCAGGTTTTGACAGCAATGCGTCAATCATGACTGAACGGGATTCAACGCTCGCAACATGGCCCTTATCGGCATGCCGGAAGAGTAAAGCGAAGTTCAATCTATTTCCAAACCATGTCAAATAGGTCATAGGAATGTAGAGGGTACGGCGGACATACTCATCCTTGAACTCGGCGTATCTAGCCGGAAGGCCTACGCATTGCCATAGGTCAGGTTGGTCCGGCCGTAGATACTCGAAGAATTCTTGACATGCCGCTTTATGTAATCTGGCTATGAAAGTGGCCAATCGAGCAATGTCCTCGGCACATACAGGCTCGTCTACGATTCGGAACCAATCTATCAGCTCATATGCGGACAATTTTCGGTTAGCTTCAATTTCAGCTGGTAGAAGAAGCACCTTTGTCAATAATGACCACGATGGACGGATGATGATGTTTACATACGCAAAAGCATGTTTTCCACCTGCGATAAGAATAGAAGGACAGCCGGACTGCTTGCGTCCAAGATAGTGACGTCCTCTCGCGGTTGAAGGCAAATTTGGAGGTGAGCTAATTCGCGACGGATACCGAGCGACATGTATGGATATTGAGTGAAAAGGCGAGGCAGTTGAACGGCTTCGGCGAAATTGTGTATGAAGTTGACAAGAATAGTGTCGTCGCGCAACTTGCTCGACAGTCGCACAACTAGCTTGCGGATAAATGTTATGATCGCCAGCGCATCTGATAACGAGGGCGTCTCAGTGTGCAGATGTGCAATGTACTGTTCCGGCAAAGTCATAAGCAGGGGACTCGGCAGATCGTTATATTCCTGCGAATGCCTGCCGAATTCTCGGAAATATGTATCGCTGGCTCCTTGTGCGGACGAAAGTGCCTCCAAATCTTCCAGGTATCGGTATGGATTTTTGACGCATTGTTGAGCACAATCGTCCAAAAACGCTATCACGGCAATACTTTCATCTGTCAAGGAAGCACCATCCGGTGTTTTCGCCTGTTCAGAACGTATTGTGGATGGCAGGGAGTCTAGCCAAAGGGTGATCTCAGTTGCATCATGCTGGAACAGCAAGCTATTCGACAAGGATCGCTCGAGCAAGGTTGCTATAGCAGCCCGAATAGTGCAGCTCTCACTGGCCGCATAGATCTTCAACAATATCCATAAATTGCTATGCGACGAGCCTGTCAAAATGATGAGGCTTGAAACAAGTCAGATATGATGAGGCACTCACCACTAGCACGTCCTGACCAACTGAATTGGTCGCTCTCGCCCAGTAACCTGAACACATGCAGCTGGCGCAGGACCTCCATTCCAATGACAGTATTCACAGGTGAGCCTCCGGATGACGACATAGCGCTCTGTACGCCAATGAGCAGCTTGCCTACGTCAAAACGGGCCTCTGCCACCAAGAAAGGGAGGCAGCGATGGTAGAGCCAAAGCAGCCGCTGGGCACTCTCGGAGAGCAGAGTCGCTCTCATTGGATTCGCTTTAGAATTCTGATCCGATGGCTTTCCACTGCTCGCCCCTGTAGCACTCAACGTCTTCTGAGCGAAACCCACAACCACCTGGAAATCCGGCACCCTCTTGCGGATTTCCTTTTCCACCTCGTGCAGCCGTCTCCTCCATTGGCCTTCCTCTTCCTCCTCCAATGAAGTTGCTATCCGCTCGAATGTACGCAATATGGCTTCGAACTTGAGAAGACATTTTGCAAGCGCCAAAGCGCTGCAGTGCTGAACAAGTGGCGAATTCGCCTGCAAACCGCGAGAGAAATGGGTCTTGATACTCGTCAAAGGTAGGATGTTGTCAACGATGGTAAAGAGAGGAGGTGGCACTGGGTTGTATAGAGAACGGTCATGGTCCTGAAGGAGGAGTGATGACTCTGGAATAGGCAAAGAGATAACCGAGCCGTAGAATGCGATATTTGCTATCCACTTAGACGACAGCCGCGGCTCCAATGCGACGATCGGCGATGACCAATATCTACGGGGACAGTCAGCATGCCACAGATACACAAAGGGTATAACCAGACTTCACCCGGCAATGAGCTCAGGGCAGGCGGCTAGGATCTTTAACGCGAGTTCTTGCTGCCTAGCGTCTTCATTGACCTTCAAGTTTCTGATCATTTGTGCCAAGATCTTGTTGTACACTCTGCTTCCTCTGCGGACCGCAAAATCTTCGCGCTCCTCGTCTTTGTGGTGAGAATTCCCGTCAGGGTCTGTCTCGCGAGGATACCAGCCTCGGTCTTGAAAACAAACGCCCACTCCTGGGTGCGTACAGATCGCCAGCAAGAAGTGATGCACGACGTCGGCTGGTATATGTTCTGGATCCTCATCTTCGGCAGTATCACGTTCATAGAGCCGCATGAGCTAAGCAAGACTTAGCACTGAAAACGACGAGGGACCAATGGAGTTTCTTACCTGCGCCAGAAGCGCCTCGTTAAATAAGGCAATCTTGAGCGTTCTTCTAACTTTGACATCCGACCAGATTCCAACCCAGCATACTTCCAGTACATGGCGAACGACTGAATATCGATCTTGCCAGAGACCTTTGAACAGCAGCGCAAAATTCTCGCGGTGTTGTTCTAACATAGTGATCTTCTCCGCACTGGAGGTCGTGCTATCGACGAAAGACACGAGGAACAAGATGAATAGCGTGCGGATATCTGGCAGCAGGATTGTTAGCAGGAGAACAACCTCACCGTGAGCTAATCAGACGACACACCAGGTCTGGTCAAAATGTCAACACTCGGGTCGACCCCGTTCTTACGTCTCATATATAGAAGTCTTGGTAGAGACTAATGCAAAAAAAAACACATAAATTGACCCGTGCGAATTATTGCATATGCACGCACCTTCGTCTCCCAAGCAAACACCTCAATCACAGTCTTGCGCTCTCTGCCACCGGCAAAATTTGACAGGCTCAAGAACAGCTTCAACGTAACTAGCAAAAGCTCGGTATGAGAACCTCCCAGGTATGAGTTCAATCGAGGTGCCCATTGCGAGGATAGCGTAGAGCGGAGGATTGGCTCGGCGAGCGCGTGGTACGTATAATGAGAGGAGAGGAGAACGAGCATCGATGACAGCACGCTAACGATTGATACGAGAAGCGAGAACTGCCGCTGTACAGGTACAATATTCAGGATGACAGATAGACAGCAAACCCGAGAGCAAACTCACCGCGTTGGCTGCCTCCCAAACGGCAAACAGATCCTGCGCACCAGGAGAGAGTTCGAGCCATGACTTTATTAATAGCAGGCGACTGTCACTGGGAGATATAAGCGGCTCGTCGTGCTTCACAGTAAGCTGATTGCGCAGTGCGGTCAAGGCTGCAAAGGGTAAGGTGAGTACGCGTGGACTGACTCTGATACTCGATTTTGCACACCTTCAACCAAAATTTTGTCATTTTCTGCCTTCAGGCTCTCTCTAATCTCGATTGCACTTCGAAATCGGTGGCTCTTACGGGAGACAGATTTGCGGCTACTGAAGCTTTGCACGGGAGGCATCTTAGGGATTCGAAGGACTATACAAAGAGCTCGAGGCTCGCACAGCAAGATGAGATAGCCGTGAGCTCAATCCGCTGTCGGAATAGTCGCCAACTCGCAGAGAGAGAGAATGAATGAATGGCAGAGCGAGCAGCCAATCCTGAGCGCCACAGGTCAACTTTCTCGGCTGTAGCACGTGGCTTGATAGCCAGATCTCAGATCGATCAGATCAATCTCCTTGCGCCAGGCGAGACAATTGAATGCAACAGCCATAGTCTTAATATTCATGGTTATACTTACCTGATAACGGAAGCCAGATCTACTTATTGTATGACATGGGCATTTTCTGTACAGTATGAAAGTAGTACCTATGTGATGTTAACCAACAAGGTTGGGCCGGTGCTAGTTGTATTGAACTCCGCCGACCGCGGCAGGTGGCACTCAAACAAAGATTTTGCATGTACACAACACCTTCAGCCCCAGCTCACCATGCCAAGGGATCATATGGATAACTGCAAGACAGAAAGAAGATAAAACTTGGTTTTCGGTGCAAAGATCGTGGAGGAAACGCTATCAAGAGGCCAATATTCGCGCCCAGCACTCACGCTGTCTCGTGACCGCGTGCAGGGTGTCAGACCCCTGCTCAGGCTGGGCCGTCCAGCAGCCAACCGCAACTTTCTGCCTCCCAAACGGCTTCGTCTCTGAGGGCCATATCTACGAAGCATATCAGCATCATGCCACGGCCGGCCTCTGACTCTGCTACTAGTCCGCCGGCCGCTCCGATAATCACGTGCTTGTGACGCGTGATTGGTACGCGCGTACCAATCACGCGTCGCAGAAATGCGAATTTGTGGATCGTGGACGCGTATGCGCTCACTCTTGTTTCTGAATTGCACTCTACTTTGACCATCGCGATGGCGCCCCTTGCGGTTAAGATCAAGCATGCGGGAAAGGCTTATGATGTGCAGCTGGACCCCGATCAGCCCCCGACAGTGTTCAAGGACGCAGTCTACCAGGTGACGGGAGTGCCGCCCGATCGTATGAAAGTTATGATTAAGGGAGGGATGCTGAAGGTGTGTGTATTGTTAATTTTGGTGGGATGTGCCTCTGAGTGGCATATGATGCGGGCAGGACGATACAGACTGGAAGAAAGTCAATCTCAAAGAGGTGCATACATTTCCAAAATGATATATGCCTAATTGCTGACAGCGTGTTGATATCCAGGGACAGACATTCATGGTGATCGGAGCAGCAGGAGAGTTGCCGAAGCCTCCAGAGATGCCGATTGTTTTCCTCGAAGGTGAGTGTCTCTGCTTGTCCAAACTAAGGCGATTCGAGCGAGGCGAGCGCAGTCGTCGAGCTGTCTTGTGTACGCATATACCGTGCTTAGTCGCGGTATGCGCATTTTGCGTGAGCAACAGGCATATTATGTCTTGAGACACATGGGATAGGCCATGGTGCGCCAATGCAATGCTCTCCCTCCGCCCGAACGACTCGGCATTCCTTTGTCAAGAGACGTCTGACCGTTTCCGTTTTGACAGACATGGACGATGTGACCCTTGCTGAAGCGGTAGGTCTTACTTCATTTCCATGGAAGTCTTGTGCAGGTTCCAATTCTGCGGTCCTTGCACGCCGCATTCTGTGCGATTTTGTACACCGCAATACGCCGAAGGATAGACAGCGCATAGGCAGCTCGGAAACTTGTAGTACAGTGTCTCACGCGTCTTTCATCTCATCCAGCTATCGCTACCCATCGGTCTGAAAAACCTGGGAAACACATGCTACATGAACGCCACACTCCAAGCCATGCGCGCCATCCCCGAGCTCCAAACTGCTCTGCAGAAGTCTGTCCCTTCGCAAGCTTATATGTACACAACTCTATTGACATGTCCATCTGAACAGTAATGCACCGTCAGGTCTGCCGTCCGCACTCAAGAACTTGTATTCACAGATGTCCCGCACAACAGACAGCGTCGTGCCCAGCACATTCCTTGCGGTCCTTCGCCAGACATTCCCCCAGTTCGCTGAGCAGGCGAGGAACTCGAAGGGCCTCGGTGGGATGTTCGCGATGTATGCACAGCAGGGTGGGTGGCTACGTCCTTCGCGCTTAGATTGGCTATATGCTGACTTTACTGCAGACGCGGAGGAATGCTGGGTACAACTGACAAATGCGCTTAAGGAGGTCCCTGGTCTTCCCGGTCCTTCGTCTGAGGGGACGATCTCGAAGACTTTCGTTGATCAGTACATGACTGGTGAGATGCGTCGGGAGTGAGTAGCGAGCATACTTCGAAGGGTGTATCCTTGTAATGACGTCCCACCTTGCAGACTGCGATGCGACGAGGCGCCAGAAGAGCCTCCCACCGTGACCTTCGAGAAGGTGCTCAAGATCGAGTGCAACATCTCCATCACAACAAACTACATGCTTCAAGGAATCAAGGAGGTCCGTCGATAACAATGTTCCTCTGTTTGTGACGCGCTGACAACCGGCGTTGCTTAGGGACTCAACCAGAAGATCGAGAAGAACTCGCCATCACTCGGCCGCAACGCAATGTACACAGCCACATCCCGCCTCTCCCGCCTGCCTACATATCTCACCGTGCACATGGTGCGCTTCGCATGGCGGCAAGACATCGGCAAGAAGGCTAAGATCATGGTACGTTCCCCCCCTCCCCTCCCCCATGCCTCTCTTTCTCCAGTGGCCCTGACATGCGTTTGCATCGCCAGCGCAAGGTGAAATTCCCAACCGACTTCGACGCGCTTGAACTGGTGACAGATGAGCTCCGGGAGAAAATGCTCCCGCTCACTGACCGCTTCAAGAAGATCGAGGGCGATCGTTCCGAGCGGCGGACCATCCGCAAACGCACGGCGGCGAGGCGCCAGGCACTGGCTACCGCGCAGACGGCCGCGACCGCCTCCGCCTCTGAGCCTGCCGAGGTCCCGGGGCAGGTTGCTGAAGAAGTCCCGATGGATTTGGACGAGGAGCCGGTCTATCGAGAGAGGGAGAGGGAGGAGCTCGAGGCGCTCATCCATCCTGACCTCAAGGCAGACGTTGGGTGCAGCGTCTCGGGACAGTACGAGCTGATCGGTAAGCGCACGCTGCTGCCTTGCCGTTCTCCATGTTGACCTTTGCTTTTCCCAGCGATCGTCACGCACAAGGGCGCCGCAGCCGACTCTGGGCACTACATGGGCTTCGCGAAGAAGAGCGCGATCCGACCCATTGCCAACTCGACCGCACCGGGCTCATCGGCGACGCCTACAGTGGCGGAGGATGACGAGGACTGGTACAAGTTTGACGATGACAAGGTGTCGATTTTCCCGAAGGACAAGCTGGCGACGCTGGATGGCGGAGGGGAGGACTCATCGGCGTATGTGCTGTTATACAAGACGAAGCCACTTGCGTAGACTGTGTACATATGCGCGTGTGTGTATGTTGACGGGTGATCATCGACATCGATCATCGTCGCCGTGATTGTTGTGGTTTGCTGTCGCGAAAGACCAGGTCAGCCTTGCTGCGCCGACGTGTTGTTCGCCATTCACCCCAGACATGGAGCTCTTTTTCGATGTGTAATATGTGGGGAAAATGTGAACTAGTATTTTGATAATGGGTCGGTTCTTTGCGAAAATGACATAGCAGTTTACATATTAGGCATCTGCAATTGGAAATGGAACTGCGGCATATACCAAACCATATTCTTGGGGCTATATTGTATTCATTTTTGTAGACTTTGCGAATACAATATGTTCGCATTATTTTTTGATGTTACAGATGGTAAAAATGCGACGGAGAAGTAAATCGTCACAGATTCGATGTTATGCATCTAAAAATATCTTACGTAAAAACCAAAGGGTGGCACATTCTAAATTATTCATTGCATCTGCGATGAGGAGGTACAAAACAAATTTCATCATACAGGTGGCTACATTGAGGATTTCATTAACCGTCAAACGGATCCTATAGGTGACGACAATCAGACTGGGACGTAATTCTGTTAGTGGTCACGAAGGGCGTACTAGGTGAGGTATCTCGTTATCGCTCGTGCATCCTACTCTGGACCGCTCGACTTTCGTTAAAGAAGCTAGCCATTGCGGGTCGTAGTAAGACTTTGGTAGGCCGCGGACGCATAGCCGGCTCGACTTCGGAGACTTGGACGAGAGCTCCTGAATGCGAGGCAGAGCTCGATTCCCTCTCGACTGCAGAGCTCCGGACATGGTCTGGTAACTATCGATAGCCGACAACAAAGCATCGATGTCTTCATGATGCCACAGCAAGCGCGCTCTGTGAACGACTTTGTGGCGACTGCTAGCTTCTTCGTCCGTGTGATCTGAGCTCATCCCGGCAACCTCAAGCTTCTCTAAGACATCCTCGACGGCGCTCCATAAAGTCGGTGAGCTACGCTTGTTCGCGTTGACGACCTGGGCACGTCTCATGAATATCTACGGAATGCTAGGTCAATAGAGTGGTTCACAATGCAGGTTTAAAACTCACGCCCTGGCGACGCATATTGCGACGCAGCGCTGCTGCATCATTGACTTTTCTTTTCTTCCACTCGTCAGAACCTGCATGATGGACTTGTGCATGCACGCGCCTCAATTTCGCGGTGCAAGAGCGCATTAAAATTGTCTCTGTCATGGCTTCAGGATCGAAGAGCAAAGGAAATTCTAAGCCCGACTTGATTTGATTGAGGAATTCTCGGGAGAGGAGCAGGATCAACTCTCTGTTCCACTGAGAACTTAACTCACTGGTCCAATCGACGAGCGGCATTGCAATGTCAGGTCCATCCCCAGTTCCATCAATGAAGGCTTCGACCACAGAGGGCGATGCACCAACTGGCAAACCACCATCGATGGGTAGAACGCCCTTACTCCGAAGATACTGTCTGAATCGTGCCTGTTGAACGAGTCAAAGTGTGGCGACAGCCATGGCCATGTAATGGGAAAACTCACATTGAGGGCGTTGTTATCCCGCGGACCTCTCCGACTTTTCGTCCGTTCGGTAAGAGTTTTGCATTCATCGGCGTCTCCAAAATATTCGTCCTCATCAAGCTCCATCCGCACAGATTCCCCAGCGACGTTGCGATGTTTGCTGACAACACCACCGGGCCTGTTGTTGGACTTTTGTGCATCTACCGCCTTCAGTGCTCTCTGTACTCCTTCCTTGATACCATTTGCCACAGCAAGAGACATTGCTTGCATCAGTTTCGCTAGATCGGTTTCTTCGATAGCAGGTCCCGACATGCCAAAGTCAGGAGCACTTGAGGAGGGGCCAAGCGTAGAGCCTACTGCAGCTGATGGAACGTTATCTGGTGGTGGTCGCGACACCAGTGGAACATGGGGAAGTGATTGTGCAGTTGTTCTGTCCATAGGACGTTGGACGTTTTGGATGCCTGGGTGATTATTAAACTGAAACACAACTTCGGGCGAGGAATCGTCAATCGCGGCGCCATTTTGAACACCGAAAGACCCATATTGTAACTCCATAACGGCGAGATCACTTTCATACTACAAAAACCAATCAGTCAAGCATGAAACGAGATGCAGATGATATGCTCACTTCTTCGGTTATGACATCATGCCTTGTATGCGATTGCGATGCGTTGACGAATCTGCCTGCATACAAAGCCGGCTGATGTCGCATACCACCGTTGTTCTGGAAGTCAGTCGTTTCGGAAATGAAGCCGAAGGAATGCTTATAGAGCAATAAGCCGGTAACCTTTGACGTGGGCAACACTTCGCACGCACCGTTTGGCCACCGCTCGTTAAACTAGGAGCAATGTACTCTTCATGAGACAATATGGCTCCGCGCACTTCTCGCTCCTCATCGCTGGAGAGTTCTTCCGAGAGCTTTGAACGAATAAGCATCGCATGTAGCCAGTAACGCCATCAATTACTCACTTGTCCTTGGGGTGGTTCGCCGTCTGCCATGTCCAGTGACTCTC